AGTGTTGATTGAATTTGATTGCACTTATTTATTGGCTACCACCTTTGCAAGGTTGGTCTTCTCTAATTTAATATACAATTATATTAAAAAAACAACTTAATTTTATTTCCGAAATTAAAAAAAGTTCACATTGGACTTGTTTTTCCATGATAGTTTTTCATTTGCAAAATTCCACCTTTGTTGCAGATTTCATGCTTAATGTGTTCAAATAGGGAAGATTAAGTTTACCAGTAATTGTATTCGTATTTACTTAATCTATATAATTACTAAACATTCCATAAGAGCTAATTTATGAATAAGAACGTAATATTCAGATCAGCTGGAATTAATCATTGTAATTCTGTGCTTCAAATTTTGAACGTGTAAAACAGCCTTTACACAAGGTCTTATAGTTTTACAACTTATTTTTTATCTTAAGTTTCTTAAATGTCTTTATTATTCCTATTAAAAGTAGTCTTGGCAATTATTCCAATACATGTTAATGAGATGAATGTGATATTTCATTTTAGCAAGAAAAAGCTGTTACGAAGGCTGGTCACTCGAGTACGAGGGTTATCTAATGGCGGGAAATTATCGTCACCCAGCGGGTAAAACATACACATGTGTAGACAAGAACTCAGAAACCATACACGGCGGCCATGCAAACTACGATGGTTACCTATTTTATTTTGTTGAAGCTGTATGTGGTTCATTGAAATGTCCACCATATGTTCAAGGGAGAGAGCTTACTTGTGCCGTTTGTTCAAAAATGTAAACAATAAAATATAATACAATATATAAGAATACAACTTTTTCATAATTAAAACCATAAAATGCTGTCTTATATTGTGAGTACGGGTATTATTGTCGCAGCTGTTGCAGAAAAAATACATAACTCGCGTAAGAGCTAGGCTACCTTTTTGTAGAAGCCTAGAGTGGTTTATGAAATGTCCACCATATGTTTAAGGGAGAGAAATAACTTGTGTCGTTTGTTCTAATATGAAAACAAATATGAATAAAATATATAATGCTATTAGGACATGAGGTATATTTCATGTAATTTGCTCTCGTAGATTGTTAGTCGAACTTGCTGGACTGTTTCGTGTATGTTTTAAATAAACTCGCAGCCATTTCTTGCATTTACTGTCATAGACGAGAGATTAGAGTTTAGAATCGGCATACCTTCTTTGAATAGTCACTATCTAAACTGTTATAATAACATTTTAGCTCGCCTAATTAAACGAAGGTATATGAAAGTTAATTAAATGCCCTTCGCGTCTGTGTCCCAGGATAAGTTTTTTGTAGTAGTTTTTTTTTTGTCCCCCGCTTGAAAAGTGGGGGATATTAATTTGGGTTTGTCCGTCCGTCTGTCCGTCCGTCCGTCCGTCCATCCGACTTTCTGTCTGTCTGTAACGCTTTCGTTTCCACACGATATCTCGAGAATCCTTTGAGCTTTTGCAATGAAATTTAGCATAGCAACTCCCTATGGACTAAAGAAGACCCCTATTGATTTGAGGTCAAAAGGTCAAAGGTCAAGGTCATAAATAAGCAAATTTTGTCTGTTATAACACTTTCGTTTCCACACGATATCTCAAGAACCCTTTGAGCTTTTGAAATGAAATTTTACATAACAACTTCCTGTGGTCTAAGGAAGATCCCTATTGATTTTGAGGTCAAAAGGTCAAAGTTCAAGGTCGTAATTTTATACATACTGTTTGTATGAAACACTATCATTTTCGGGCGATATTTCAAGAAGATTTTTAGCTTTTGCTATGTAATATTATACCAAAACTCCCTAGGACCTCTCTCACTCCTCTCAAAGTGCCCCGCCCCGTTTGTTTTATTAGTATATATTGTATTACATGTCGCTATTTTTAGTACAGGGACATGAGGAGAATTATCACGTATATAACAGGTTCTCGGTGGACTTTATATTCTTATTACATCTATTAGAACTGTTTAATAAAGATTAAATTAGACACCATGCATTGTGTAAAATTTTGACAATATCAAACGTGAATATATACATGTATGTCACTTCATGTTTGTATACAATTGTCTCAATGTTACAGCGACTCCGTGGTCTAGTGGTATGTCTCTCGCTTCAAATGTGAGAGGGACCGGGATCGCATCTCGGACGATACATTTTTTTTCGAAATACTTTTCTGTTTTTAATAAACGATAGTATTCAGCATGTGAAATGAAAAATTTATGAGGTTTGGCTTTTACAAACTTATAATATCATTATTACAGTGTGATAAATATTCCATATAAAAAAGAATCTTCAACACATATAATAAAGAATAATCCATCAAACCTTTATATCCATATTGGCATATTTTATTTGCTTACATTGTATGTATACATTTTATACATCTAATAATTCTACAAATTCAGTGAAGGGGATCCGAACCCCCGACCCCGAACTGCGCATGGTTTACTTTTCCCTAAGCGGGGGACACAAATTCTCTGAATTAGCTTGTTAAGTACTTCTTCGTCTTATATTGATCATACTTGCATGAAAGATGCTTCTAGTGTGTTTCATTGTACCAGACAGGGTTTCAGATACTGCAATATTGCAATATTAGCAAAGATTATGACCAGGTTAATGTTTTTGAAAGAGGTTAACATTTTTAGTGCAGTTTTGGTGTATGTTTTATTTCCATGTAATTATGAACCCTATGATAGTCACACTTGCATGGATAATACATCTAAGGATGCATCCGAGCTTGCTTCGGATGCTGAATCTGACCTGTATTTTCCAGATCCGTTAACAGCTTAATGTACTTGTGCAGGTCTCATTTCTAAGTAGCTATAAGCCTTATGACGACAAAACTTGCATCTAAGGATGCACACTATTAGGCTTGATTTGGATGCTAAATCTGATCTTAATTTTCCGGATGAGTACACAGGTTAAATTATTTGGTGCAGGTATCATTTATAATTATATGTAAGTAGCTTGGAGCCATATAATGACCAACCTTGCATGGATGATACATTAAAGGATGCATACTACTAGACTTGCTTCTGAAGCTGGATCATAACTATATCCGATATACATTTTCCCGAAAATGGTCCAGGTAAATGGGTGCAAGTCTATCATCAAGAAACTATAAAGCCATTATTATCCAATCCTGCATAGATGATGCATCAAGAGATGAACACTCTCAATCTTGCTTCAGATGCTGGATTTGATTTCATTTTCTTGATGGATGACTAGTTTGAAGATTTTGATACGCGTATGTCTATTCCCAAGTAACTTCAAGCCCTATCAGATCAAAAATGCATAAATCTTATATTTTTGGGATGTACGAGGGTTGTCCCGTAAAATCGTGGACAAAGCGTTTTTCTCGAAAAGTAATGGGCGCACTAAGCTGAAAATTTCAGTAAATGTTTATTTATCATATTTAAGTGCATGATAATTTTTTTTGATAAAATATAGGCAAAAATAAAGATTTTGTTATGCTTGAATGTGCACGAGGTATTGTCCTACGGCGCACGGACAAAAAACCAAGGTTTTATTAAAAAATACACAAGTTTGAATTCAAAATAAAAGTTTTAAATACATAAGATTTGGATTAAAATTATCCTAATTCAATTCAACAATCAATTTTGTAGTCTTTGTAAAAATTTTAAAGCATCTGGTTAATTTTTGGCAGTTTCTCGAGCATTCGAAATGGGAAAGTGTAAACACAACACACGAAAAATGGCGACGTTTTATGACGTTACGGCGCACCGGAGAGCAGTTCCATTTTAATTGGATGTTGTAATGACACCTTTAGAGACTTGATATGACCATAGAAGAAAAATAATTATAAAAATATCACCATATCTTAAGTATACAAATGAAATAGGGGTTTTCTTAGCGAATTCTTTTTTTGATCGAGTCCCTGGGGAGTACAAAACATACGGACAAACTCCTAATGTAATAGCAAAAGACGCTGTCACAGTAGACCGCCGATATGAGATTTTCTATTAGCTGAATGATGGTGAGAATATTGTTCGTAACTTACTGATAAATCTTCAGAAGATCGCAAAAGGGTGCCAATTGGTTCTTCGGCTGTTATGGAGACTAAATGTGTATCAATGAAATTACCAAATTTAAGTTGTACTCATCCAACTTCATTTCAGCAAAGATAAAACGTGACGCTGTTTTAGACACTTTGACGTTATAATCCATGCGCCGTAAGGTGATACAATACAGGGCATAAAAACACATAGTTTGTTTATTTATGCATATATTTATCTGAAATTTGCTGTGTATATTACTAAAATATTTACTAAATAATAGTGAAAATTTCAGAACGCAGTGATGTTTATTTTTTACACTAGACAACTTGTCCACGATTTTACGGGACAACCCTCGTATATACTTATAGAATGTAACTTAATTGTAGGACTTTGCCTTATTTATAGACAATATTCGGTGAGGGGAGCTCTTTAATCTCTGATCACCTATGCTTTTGAGCTCGTTACTAAAATCTTGCTTTTGCCTATATTTTTGTAAGTATGGTATAACAATGAGGACTTTTCTTGGTGTAATCCTGAGATAGGTTAAGTACAACGAAACAATACAAACAAACATAGATCATTGAAAATACTGTGAAATCAGTAAATTTCGTGGGGGTTTACTTTGCGTTGTTTTCGAGGTATGGAGAGACTCACGAATTCATGACCACGACGAAATGTAAAATTTCATATGCATTACTACCAAATATTTTCCAACCACAAATTCAAATCCTCACAAACCAAATTTATTTCCTCAACCCTCGAAAATTTGACCCAACAAAATATGTGATTTTACAGGATCAAATTTGGGGTAATGATTGAGGTTTAAGTTTCTTCAGTCGATATGACACAATCTTTTTTTCCTAGTCGGATAAACGGATAAATCAGTAGTCAAATCAAAATAAAAATAATTGCAGATGGTTGCAAATCAATACGCAAGAATGTGTATTCTGTGAATATTCTGCATAATATTTACTGTCTTCAATACACTGTAACCCGAAGATTAAGATACATTTAAGAGATCTTTGGACAATTTATTTGGTTGTTTAGTTTAAAAACCTACATGATAAAAATAGATAGGTTAAATGAAAGATAAGCAAAGTATTTCGGGGGTTAGGGTATATTGAATATTATGTGACCCGTTCCACGATAGTTTAGGAGAGCTTGCTTTTCAGCCAGGGATATGATAACTATTTCTGCAGCATTGTCTGGACAACCCTCCTCCACACAAACCAGCTGTGTACTCTCCCCTGCAAATCACAGTGTTTACATCCTGACATGCACCTTTTCGCTGACATTAATAAGCTTGACCTGTAAAATAATTATACATGTAATGATACTAATTTGTTTTCACTTCTTATCGATAGTGGTCTTTTAAAGATTTTTGACAATATTTGAGTACTAAGGGGTGTTAAGAAAGTTTGTTCCATGATGAAATATTTTCAAAATTTTCAAAATAGTGCTTAACTAAAGAGATTAATTTTCAAGTTTGACAAAATCACAAGAGTATACATGTACTTTGAATTTAAAGCAATTCATTTTAGCAGAAAATTATAGAATTGTTCATCCATATGGAAATATATATAACATCTTGAAAGCACACAAATGATAGAAATGCTGGTCATTTTGAATAAAAATAAAGGCTAATTTACCTTTGTTTCTTCATGGCTTATCTTGCATCAGACATGCTGATGCTCGAAGTTATAACAACGATAGATTTATTTTCAACAGAATAGGTTTGTAATTTTTGAAATTTTCCACAGATTTGATAATTTTTTTTGAAAGGATGTTTTGGCCTGTTGCTTAATATATATCGCAAATGTACGCCATCCCTGATCTTTCTGAACAGACATCATCTGGTTTTATACCTGCCCTCCCCTTATTGATTCCACAAAAGACAGATAAAACCTTATGAGTAGCAAGAATGGACTCTGTAAACATGAAATATCACAAATTGTAATTATCTTCTTATTGTATTTCTTTTCAAGAATAAAAGAAAACATGTGGAACGAACTTTCTTAACACCCTTTAGTATTCAATTATTTATACTTATATAAGGCTTTTGAATGTAATTTTGAATAAGTAATACTTATGATGAAGGGCGATAAAGGGAAATGCCTGTTAGCCAGTTACCTTATCTTAATCTTTATTTTTAGTTGCGGAAACACAAAAATTAAGCAAAGAGTTAACATTGTAAGCCTATTTCAATTTTGATATCTACACAAAGCAAAAATTACTCCAAAACAATTATTCCAAATTTCCGTTATGATACACCTTATAAACTCTTGTATAAAGTTTTATCTCATAATCATATGCTGACAATTTTTATTGGGGTTGATTTTCTTTGAAGGTCAAAATCTTGCTAAATCTAAAATGTTTACAAAAATGTTGCAAATGAAGTATCTAAAAAAAATTTCAATTATTAAGGAATTGCAAAACTTCTATGATGTTAAAAATTCTACTTGTCTGCAGTCAAGCTTTCTTAATCTATACAAATATTTGACACTTCAATTTCCTTTTTTATGTAAAAATTTGACTAAAAATTTTTAAACTTGTTCATTTTACTCACTGAAACTCAGGTTGTTATTTTAAATTTTATGACAAAAGTGTGTTTGTATTATCTGTCCTTAAATTTATTTTTAGATAAAAATGAGGTATATGTCCATGTCAATTTTTATTGCAATCCATCAATTTATAATGTATAAAAGAAAAAAACTTGTACAATAGAATTATTAAAAAAAAAACATCAGAATCTTTGTACGTACTGACCAAGGTCTAGAGTTCTGTCTCAATAAAATAAGAAGAAACAGAAACAACTGCATTCTATTAAGTCTCACCTTTAACACAACATTGTATGTTTGTCGGTCCAGCACAGTATCCAGGTTTGTATCTCCCACAAGGTTCACTTGTGTACTGAAAACGCCCATTCATAGACCAACAGGGCGATTCATCAGCTGTAATCACAAAAAGTATTTACATAATTTCATTTTTGTTTAAATGTTTAAATCGAATAATTTTTATAATATATACAAGAATTATATCTCTCAAGAATTAAAAACAAAAAAAAAGACTCTTACCCATAACTAAAATAGTATTTACTTATACCAGTAAGGCTAGAAATTGTGAGTAAACTACTTTTGCCACGATATGTAACTTGTTAAAAAATCAAATGGGAATATTACTGATTTAAGACTGGGATTACTTCGTACATATAAATGGTTCTCTTGATTGCATTCCAAAATGTTGCATGAATAGCAAATTTCATTTTACAATTTCTCACACCTGTTTCACTAACGCTCTTCATTCCTGGCGATATATCACAGCTCCCCAATATCATTGCGCACATGAAATATTTATGGATTCATTTTGATGTTAAAAAGTGCTGGTACGGAAAATCTTTATTATCATTGTTGTTATATCTTAAGAGAATCTATATAATTCTAACTGATTTGAAAATGCCACATAAAACAAAGCTTTACATTCTTTTCACACCGTTTGTATCCCTCTTATAATTAAGGTTGGTTTTTTGTACTTACATGTACGTGTGATAAATTTCAAAAATAAATAAACACAAATATAATTTTGCTGCTTAATTTAAAAGAAAATAAATGTGAGTGTGACAATCAATAATATACCGTCCCGTCTTGTGTTTTCGTGGTATATACGTTTTCGTGGTATTTTTTATTTTTAGGTATAATCGCACAATGCAAGATCGAGATGACGTCATATTTGCTATTAGTAATGGAACCCTGTCCATGTTTTTATGAAAATTGTTAAACCTTTTTGCCTTTCCCAAAATAAAATATAGCGAGTGAGTTATGCATAGTTCGCATATTTGATAATTTGCGTAATGTACGCTTATTCGTCGTGTTTTGAACTAGAATACCAAACTTACAAAGTAATAGCCGGCGATCATGCATATCATCATCTGTTAACTATCATACAGCTACCGGTCATGTGACAATAATTTGGAATTATCTAGTAACGTCAATTTTTATATAATTTTCAAAGAAAATATCGGGGTGTTAAAAAGTTATATGATAAAAAAAATATTGTGCCATTGATAATTAATTGAATTAAACATTTAACTTCTTTGAATACACATGGAGTTTATATTTTAAAACATGAAACATTCAAATAAAGCTTTACAAAATTACTTCTAGCCCACTCTTGAGAAAGAGAAATTTTTTACATTAATTAGCAATTCAACTTAGGCACCTAGATAGATGTGGTCTTAATTAAAACAAAAAAATTTTCATGTCAAAAAATGTGATCATTTTGTTAATTAACCAGTATTTTTGTCACTGTAAAATTTATCAGGATTTTACCCGCCTAGATTTCCATAGTTTACTTGTTTTATAAATACCACGAAAACATATGACGTCAACAAAAAAATCGAAAGAGCAAGTATGCAAGAATTCAATGACCTCCTGAACAAATAACAAATAATATGTGAGTTAAAATCATTTTAAAATAAGGAGAATTATTGTTTATATATGCGATAAAAAGCAGACATCTCAATTATTCAGTCTTGAAGCACTTCATTACAAATTAAACGTAATGCCACGAAAACTCATGATTCGAGGGTATGTATAAGAAAAATCTAATCTGAAAAAAATCTTAAGAAATAAACAATGATAAATGTACAATTATTATACATGTATATATCAAATTGTGCATAAGATGAGTTTGGTAGATTATTTTTTATCATTATATATAAAATTCAAATCAAAATTTACGACATTTGTTATAAGATGACACACAGACTATGAAAAATATTATTATTCAACTCATGAGGATTGGTTGTCTATCTTTTAAGGTCACACTCGAAAATTGTTCAATCATATGGCGACGCAACCACTTGCCGGTGGAATGCTACAAATTCTGTCCTATACTCTTAGGACTCTATGCACTAACGACCATTGAGCAGCGAGGGATCTTTTTCGTGCCGGCGCCTACTGCGACACGGTACACCCGTATATACGGTCTCATCCAAAGGACAGGTCGCCTCGTCGCACAGTTGGACTCGACCCCCCGAGACGTAAGAATCAACTAATGCATGAGGCATCATTGTCGTTTCGCTTCACTGGTGTAGTGCTTAGAGTTTAATTTATAACGTTTTTTAATCTTTTTTAAATCTATATCAGGTTTTTATGAGAATGAATTAAACTTTTGCCAAGACCAATTCGACATGGAGATATATCAACGACTTTCTCATCAACTGACGAATGTTTCTGTCATTCTAGAACATGTTGAGATGTCCGTACTTGGTTGATTCCAGGATCTCGGGTTTGATATAACAACTAATTAATTTTGCTCTTAAAATGGTTGTTTAAAATGATTGACATGCAAACATATAGAGTTATGGCCTTACCCTTACTTCAGGGAACTCACACTTAATTAAGATATATTTATATTTACAAATACATGTAACAGAATTCGAAATTAAGGGTTCACCGATGCCACCGGACAGGTTCAAATTATGTATTTTTCAGGCTCGTAGTGTCAAGCACGATGTCAAGCCCTAACTTAATCACAGTGGTCAGCCTCTGACAAGAGAAGGTATGCTGCGTTGTCCTTATTTAGGACGTACAGTCATTCACTGCTACCAGAGACACCGTGTCTAGAACGGTTATCTTTAATGGGCTGGTCATCTGTATGGTGCAGTGGTTAGAGCGTTTGCTCAATAGTCACAAAGTAAGGAGTTGATTCTTACGTTGTGGGTTCAAATCCCACTGTGGGACGTGGGGACCGTCCTTTGGATGAGACCGTACCAGGTCCCGTGTCCCAGTAGATGCTGGCACGAAAAAGATCCCTCCCTGGTCAATGACCCTGAGTGCTGCGTATAGGACAAAATTTGCAGCTCTCCACTGGCAAGTGGTGGCGTCTCCATATTAGTAAATAATTCTCGAGAGGGACGTTAAACAATATACAATCAATCTCTATGTCGTCTGCCTCCAAATGCTTAGTCATGCAACTTATTTTTTGTGGCAAACCTTCACCGTCAGACATTCCACCTAGTATTGATAAAATAAATGTGGTAGCCCACAATTATGGGCAATCCATCCAAATCAGAATCTTGTTATCTGTGTCAAATGGATTTAAAGAATCCCGCAGCTTAACTACACTGGCATATATACCTTTGTTTTAAGTCGCGTGATTTGCTTCAACAATTAACGGATCCGCAAAGGACTACTTTTATAACTGGAAAACACAAAGCAATAATTCTATACAATTCAAATTATTTGTCTCCATATAATTTATCAAACTCGCATAAGCAAAAAGTCACACCCGTGATGTTAGCCTTGTACGTTAGTTTGTCATGAACGAGGTTTTTTTTTCATTTATTTCAAATATGAAAAAAAAATCAAAGGGTTATATAGGTATGGAATCATGAAGTAAAAATACAGTGAAAGCGGAAAGATATGATTTCTTGGAGCTGAAAGTGAAAAGAGTGAATATAAAAAAAAAGTTGACCTTAACATTTATTTCATACAAAAGATATTGGCTTAAGGAATGAAAATGATTCGATAAAAATGAATGGCAAGAATCATCAGGATATAAATTAATCACAAAAATATTTTTCCTATTACATCCCATCTCTTGGATCATACAAGAGCTTTTAACTTCGGCTTTCTTGAGTCTTAATTAAAGTTTAAATGAAGATTAATTAAATGGCATCTATATATCTAAATGAATATGTAAATGCCTGATAACGGCGGACTAAATCATAAGCCAACTTTACTGAGTAGTCCAAAGTGGCCGGAAGAGTACCAAGTTTGATTCTATATTATCATAATTTTTATACCCCGCTTGAAAAGTCGAATTAATCAAATAGTCTTTTTTTATAATTTCTGATCTGTATTTCAATATTTTATTTAGATTTTTATACCCCCGCTTGAAAAGCGGGAGGTTATATAGTAATCGGACTGTTCGTCCGTTTGTGCATCTGTAGGTCCATCCGTTTGTTACGCTTTTGGGTTCCCATCTCTTATCCGCAACTCCTCTCATATCACTTAATTAAGTTTGATAAAACTTCCACAGAATCTTGATTACATACTAGTATTGCCTTTGTGACTTTCTATTTTACTTTTTGATTCGACGCCTATTTTGAGTTTCCCATAGCAAAACATAGACACTGCCATTATATTTTAAAATATGAGAGGCGGGGGTATCATTTTGTGAGTTCATTGCTCACAGTACCTCTAATTTACTTACATGTAGTTTTGGCCTTGCAATATTGGAATTGATAGAAGATCTCTACACTGCAATTAGATTTGCCAAAATTATGCGATTCGGACATCACATGACAAATTTAAATAACAAATCTTAATGTCCGCAACGTGAAGTCATATGTCTGATATCAGTAAAGTTCTAAAAAGAATCGCCCGTCCATGTAAAGAATATTTTTTTCTCTGCAATATTCGCCGATATTTCCATTTGTCACCTTAAATGTACTGCGTTTTCTTTAATCATAAACTTTTAACTAAGAGTCAAATCATGTCGTTTTAACTTAATACAATAGTTGAATTTCTTTTTAATCAAAGACTGACCTGCGTAAGGCTTTTATGAAAACTAATCTGTCGATATTTCGTAAATTGTATGGTCGTTATAATGATCTTGTTAGTAAATAAACCTTTCATTGGACCGTATTTCGGCGTGCCATATCCCCGCTTGAAAAGCGGGAGTGTATGTAGAGATTGGGATAACTGTCTGTTCCGCTTTGAGGTACTTGTACCCATCTCTTATCCGCAACTCCTCTTTTACCACTGAATGAAATTTAATGAGACTTTCACAAAATCTTTGTTATATAGTGCAATTTTGCACCCCCTATCTTACTTTTGGATACTTACACAAATATTTTGCGTTTCAAAGAGCAAAACAAGAGCACGGCTATTTTTTTCTATAATATTGAAAGGTACAGAGTGTACCTATCTTTTATTCGCAACTTCTCCTTAATACCATTGGTTAAATTTTATGATACTTTCACAGATTTTTTTATAACATAATGCCATAGTGCACCTCCTATTCTACTTTTTGATTTGACACTTATTCGGGTCTTCCAGAGCAAAACCTGAACTCTGCCATTATAACCATATGGGAGGCGGGAGTATCATTTAGTGAGCTTATTGCTCACAGTATCTCTAGTTTAAATACTGAATTTGACAACGGAATTTTTTTTGTCTAACTGATCAATGCAGTATTCTAACTACGGATATAACCGCTCAAATGGGGATGTTTAATCTTCCTAGGTATCTTACCAATTCTGAGGTCCGTGTTTTGTGCCTCTTCACATATTTGTATTGTTAATAGTCTTTAGAGATCGACCACTGTCTGTTTTTATTACCAATCATATTGAAAACAGATAAAAACGTTAGATGAAAAAGTTTTAGATCTCACAAACTTTTATTTATTGCCATTACACATGAACGTATCTGCGACTAATCCTGCAAAACAAAAAAGTAAAGTAATTACATGTAATGTAATGTACAGGACATAAAATTTACACTTTAGGATGTTCTTGGGAAAATTAGCTTTGTTCAAAGTTAAAATACAATGCGAATTTTGTTTACAGAAGAGGCTTTTATATTTTGTAAAAATGTATTTTACAAAAACTGGAGGTTTTTTTTAAGAAACAAAGTCTTGCATTTAGAGAAAAATCTGTGACTCATAATTAAAATGTGAAAGAAAAATTAACCCCTTGCTGAGAAATGAATATTACTTACTTATTGTTTGTTAATAAGCTCTAAAAATTATGCATAGAAATTGTGATATATACTTTTTTCAATAATTACTCATTGACATAAACATGTAATATAGTAAGTCTTTGCATTAAAAAAAATAGTCAAAGTGTGTAGAAGTATCAAACGGAAATGTACCTATCTCTGTTGTCGAATTAATACTTAAATTCCAAAGCCTTTGCAGCATTTACGGTTATTCCCACCACCACATAAGTTGCTAACATAACCCATCCAGCAGGCTTTGTTGGTATCCTGACACGCTCCAGTTAGATATCTCTCTGTGCATTTTCTGTCGGCTCCTGGTACCAAGTTTGTAATTTTAAAACAACATTAGGTACATTACATTTGCTTGGTAAAATCATAACATTATTTACTTTTTATACTTTTAGGCATGCACATTCCCGTAAAATCAGGTAATTTCTTCTGTCTTCTCCTTTATAAAACTAGGAATACTGACAAAATTCATGAGATCAGGATATCAATTTTTTTGTAGTAAGTTTATCATTCCTTTTTATTTCTTACCTTTAACACAGCATTGTCTATTGTAGGGGCCAGCACACATTCCAGTTGCATACCCATCACAAGCCTCACTTGTGTATTGACATCTTCCATTTACAGCCCAGCATCTGGCATCGCTACCTATATATATTTCACGACAGATAAATCATTCTAACAAATACTTAACAAACAAAAAACTCTTTACCAAATCTTAGGTTAAGTCTATCCACCAGATTAAGACTTGCGATATAGGTTTGACGGGTTAAGAGGGGATACTTATTCCTCCATGGCACATAATCCCACCAGATATTTTCAGGATCCGTAATTGCTCAATCCTCAAGCTCGTTATCTTTACTTCAATTTTTGAGCAGGCATGAGTAATGCCTTTAACTCCAATACTAGTATCTTCTTTAACGATTCACATCTCTTAGAGAAGATTTTTAGACTGAAACGTAAGTTTATTATTTGGCTTTATCTTAAAGTATATTACTAAACCTCAAATTTGCTTATTTAAAAATAATGAATTTGAATCTATTTACAAGGATATCTTTGATTACGAAAAAGTTATATATCATCATATCAAAGGACTTGCTTTTAAATACCTGCATCGATTCCCAGTGAGAATATCAATAGGACAAAGATGGAGAAGATAATGGAACTTTGCATCGTCGTCGATGAGTAGAGGGTATCAGAGTTTTGTACGTGTGATCAGCTGATAAAGAGGACAAGGGATTCGCCAACTTTTATACATTTGATTAATGCAACACATGGCTCTTAATTTATTTCAACAAGTATAAAGGATTTTTGTTGCTATGCATTTGTTGCACTGTTACTGCATAAATATTTCGGTTGCATAGAAATAGCTCAAACAAGTGCAAAAAATGATGCCTATCAGCATTTTTTAAACACTTGATAATTTTTATTTTCGAAAATAACAAAAATATTTTTTCATAAGCATTGAACAGTCTTTTTCAGTTAAAATCAAACTACCAGATTGTCAGTATTTTGACATTTGATGTCTTTCACAATTTATCCCTTGATTATTCGAAACTTGTACCTGTATGTAAGTTTAATAAATATATGCGTAGTTAAGTTTACATATGTATCATTTTTATAGATTAGTTAACTTATACAAAAAACGGTGCCAGTCAATAGATATTTCAATCATGTGTATTTTGCTCAATTTAATATTTGACATAAAAAGGCAAAAAGAGACTTCTTCCTTAATTAAGAAGATATCCTTTTAAGAGCACACGTAATGTGATAGTCCAAACACGAGCATATATCTCAATTAAAAAAAAAACAATTAAAGTTTATCACAAACAAAATTCAGTATATCGTAATGTAGTCGGATATGACAAGCTCTCTGACAGTGTAAATTTGATGAAATCGACTCTGAATATTGTAAATACCTACGTATTATCTATTTATTATCTGAATGTATAATATATTCGACCTAGGTTTATTAATATTAAATGCTTTATCAATTGAAATTTTATTTCAGAAAAAGCAAAAAAGAAAAAAAAAAAAGAAAAAATGTTTTGACATCTTTAAGTATAAGTCAAAGGTATATGAGTCTTCTATATTTTTTCATAAGGATATCATTTACCAATTTGCAATGTAATTTTCTGCATGACAATTATGAATGCTTTAGTGTGTATTTTAAATTAAGTAAAAAAAATAATAACGCAAAGGTTTGTGCACTTGTAAGAATTTCAGAAAGAATTTACTGTTACTAGGTGTAGCATATATATATATATCAATGAAATAAAATACTGGTTACTTGCAGAATTTCGAAAAGAAAAGAAATTTAACTAAAGGGTCCATTTTTTCATGCTTTTTTATGCTAGTGATAAAAGGCATGCATGCCAAACACTGCCTACATGTTATTCAAAATGATTGATCGTATAATTAAATGCATGACGTAGAGAACAACTCGAGCAAAAAATTAAGAGCTTTAATATTTTAATATTGACATTAAGTTTGAACAATATTATGAATGTAAACGGAGTTTATCGGCAATTAACCGAAAAAAAAATTATGTTGTGACCGATGTCAAATATTACAATCATTAATCTCAAAATTTGCCTAATAGTTGAAGAAATTCAAAAAATGTAATTTATTTTGAAATAGCACCCCCTCTTCCCAAAAATAACAAAACAATACTAAATCTATGTTTTGTTTCTGTGTTTTATTGTGTTTTGATGTATTTGTGTACAGGTATTCTATTCTCAAAAATAAATAGAATCTATCTCCATACATTTAATTAAGGAATAACTGTCTTATTTTTCGATTTCATGGTGTGATCAATCGATTTGGTTGCGTGATAATTTACATAAACATATACATTTCTGCTTGAAATTATTACGCATGCCAATCGATTGATCATCGTCATTAAATTGAAAAATCTGACAGTTATGCCTTATATTTACATGCTTTTGATTCCGCCAATCCACGTGCTCCAAATCCTGCTTCTGTCTAGCTATTTATCCCGCCCTGCACGTGATTTTTTTTTACCTCGCCTATTGATGAACCAATACATTGATGGGGAAATAAAGTACAATTACTTTTTGTAATTCTATCTCCGACAAAGACATTGGAAATGTAAATATTGTGTAAACATTTCTTAACATTTCTTAATGTAAATATTTGCAGCAAACGTTTTTATATGAATTCTGATTCAATTCGACTCATATCTATACAAAACTACGAATACATTTTTAAGACTTTTAATTAAATTATCCATTCGATCTCTCAATCATTAAATAAATTACGAATCAATTATCCACGAAGTGAAGCTTAGAGGTAATCATCTCCAGAGCTGCAAATGCAAGCAAAATATTATCTTAAGAAATTGTCAAAGCAACAGCAAACAGCTTCAGAATACATGATACTTTGTTTATGTACATAGATTTCTTTTTGTTTTAAAGGACTGAGCAACACAATAACATGTATTATTTGATTAAAAAAATTAACATGATTAAATTAATATGTTTTTTTTTATATTGAAATATAATTTTATACGATGTTTTCATTTTTTTCTGAAAGAAATTCGTGTAAAAATCCAACCAAATTATAAAAAGTGCATAATTGTCAATAATTCAAAGTTTTGGAGATAAGAATGATATAAATATATTGGCCTTATTTCCCTCAGTCTTTCTTACATATTTACCGAAACATAAATCTTAAGAAAAGTGCAAAGTGAGGAAGGAGACATAGTTAAGATATGCTCCAAATGTAGTGAACATAAAATGATTTGTTGTTGTTTTTTCCGTTATGCTAATTACATTGGGTATCAATCAAGACCAGATAGTTAATTAATTTTTAGATTTATAAACTATTTACTGGATAGGAAATGTGACGAACGAAATTCCTGGTATGAGTGGGGGTTTAAAACAATAAAATCAAATCAATTAATATTTATTACCTTTAATTGATAATTTATTCAGTCTCAAAGAGGTAACCTAATGATTGAACAAAATCTTGTCTGACCTTTATTCACTTGCAATATTTATATTTTATTATTGCATGTCGGTGAACATGTACCTGATAGAAAAAATATACATTATCAAAGTGTAATTAAACAAAGTAATCAATAATTATTGATACATGCAGTAATTATGATTCTGTGTGGTTAAAAGCAATTGGAATAAAATTATGAATAAATTTCACCCATTCTTCATCATTTTGTGTTTGGTAACTTCATTTTCGATTTGAAATATTTTATGTCAACAAATGATTCATTATAATAGTACTTTTAATACAAACAGGAATCTACGTAGATCAAGAAAGTATCATGTACTTTGAAGCTGTATGATTTTCTAAAAAGAATATCTTGGTAAATATTTATCACAACATGTATTTCCGGAATGTGCTGTACTTTTGCTGGATAAAGTATAAAAGATGAAATTTTGTCCCAAGTTGATCAGTGAAAAAATATTGTAACATTGTATTTATTGGTAACGCCAAGATGTCAAGACTACTATTTTTTATTTGTATGGTATGTTTATGCAGACTGCAATTGATGGCTCAAAGAAGACCACGTTTCTTCCGTGAGTACCAATTATATTTTATAACTTATATTAATTTCACATATGTAAAGACATTATTTCTTTAGTTTATAAGTGTAAACTGTTTGTTATTATATATTTTTTGCAAAAGGAATATTAAACAAAATGACTGAATTAAGCACCCGGCAGCCGCATTTTGATATAAAATTTTGAATGCTTTTGTCGGGTCTTACATGTTTTCTTTTGATCAAATAATATTTATGTTTATTATAGGTTTTCCTCACAGAGCTTTTCAGTTGCCGAATTACTTTTTCTGGAATAGATGGCAGCAGTTTCAACAACCTGGTCAGTGGAAAGCAGGGCTTATAGATTCTTGGGTAATTCTTTTCATTAATATTAATGTTGATTTAATATTAAAATGTAGCTTTTGAAAAAAATGATAGAAATAGAGATACTTTCCATTATCTTTAAACATTTTATTTGTTAACTATGTGGATACAGCAAAAAATTTAAAGCAGGTATGCCACAACAGAGTTTTATTTAATAGATCATTAAGAATCCCTTTGAATTATTCTTCCAGCTTTGAAAGGTCGACATAAGCTCTATATTTTTTTTTCGGGGATTCTTTTTTAAATATTTTATTTGGCAACAAGATGTTATATGGTTTAACATTTTGCGTTTAATATATGCATAATTTGAATGCCTAATAAAATATATAAATAAAGACTGGATAGACATTTTTATTTAAAAAAAAAATTATTTATGAAATCAAAACATTATTTCTCAATATTTTTTAAACATATGGATAAAATATTCATAAAACTAGTCAGGACTATGGAGAACATGTTAGTCAATCTTATCTTGAAAGAAATGAAATGATATTGCGAAAATTTATAATTTATATAATTATTTTCATATTTGGACATTTCCAGATCAAAATTAAACTGATCCTAATCATAATTAAAACCAAATTAAAATGCAAAATGATGAAATACCTTCTTTATGTACTGACCACCGTTAAATCAATTCAGTTGTCATTTTCAATTACTTTTGTCACTCCTGTTCTACTTAAACAAACCAGAATCCTTTTTCAAAGTGAACACCGTGTTTTTTTAATTATTATAAATTTCTGGATGGAATCATTTTATGAAATCATTTTTTTTTTAAACTGGGGAAATATTCTTACTAAATGATTAAGATACTGAAATAATGATTTTATGTAGTTGTCCAAAAGATCAATGAAATAAGATTGTCGTCTTATGGCATTTCTCCTTAATAAATTGAAATTAGATAATAAAAACCTTGAATATTAAAAGAAATATCATCAGTATGCACATATTTGAAGACATTTTAGCTAACATTTCATAACATTTGTTACAAATTACAAGATCATCTAGAAAAAATGTCTTTGAATTCATAATAGCTGCAATGGACCATCACATACTTCCAAATGTTAGTACATTGTGCAAATGTTATCAGGACGTCTGTACTTGTCGACTTAACAGTTGCTGGTTTCTAACTTTTGAATGAAACCAACTTTTATGTGCTAATATAATATACAGTAAGAATTATGTGCAGTATTTTTCCGGGTTTGTTTTTTGCCCCTTAACAATTGAAATAAAGATATCCGCGTTATAGATTTGCACGTTTATATTAAAGAGAAAATTCTGCCTTCTTTGAAATCATCCATTTTAATGTTGATGAAGTTAGGAGTGCAAGGTAACATGAGCGTCTTATTCATACATGCATCTGTAACAGCTCTTTACATTTGACAGGATCGTAAAAATCAGGATTCGCCGATCGCTGACCTGTTACAAACTATGATTGTTTTTGATTCGCATGGAAGACCACACAAGGTAAAACAATTATTTTAGTATAATTGATTATATATAATGAACCATATCAAATTGTTAATTAAAGATGTAGACAAGAACGATCGACAAAATGCTTACACACGTCATTGCAGATTTATGTTCTGTCGTTAGATACATGATTTATATCTCAAATCGATCATGGAGTAGATATTTTTTTCTTTTTTGTAGACCATTAGAATTAAAAAGAAAAAAGAATTTGATAGTACATATGTATTTACACGAAGACAAACATCCCATTCTTATTTTAAACCTTTTTTGTTTCCTCTTATGGATATTTTTCAGTCTTGGTATTTTAAGGTGTAAAATTTGATCAAAATGGATATACATTGTGTCATTATAAAAAGAAGAAAAAAACATATTCATTCTTTTCATTTTAGCCGAGAGGAATAGATCCAACACAAAAATCTTCCGTCAAGATAGCGGCCATGGATCATCACAGACTTCCAAATGTCAGTAATTTTAGCTTAAATTCTTTCTCTACTCATTTAATGTGGTCTTTGAACAAATCAATTTGATATGTTTGCTTATTTCCCAGTTTAGTAACTTTCATTTTTACATCTTGTTATTCTAGCCAAACCCATTCGTTCACCACAGAAGGGTAAGTAGCATTAAAACCTGCTGAATTCTGAAAAATATCTAATTTAGAAATTAGATAAGAGCTGCTATAACCTTTCTGATAGAGAATGATATATTTTTAAAGGAAAAATGAATATACAATATCTTACATTCTGGTAGGAGAATCTTATAACTGAATCAATATAATTACCCATTAGAAACAATGTTTTATTTTACATTCTTTTGCAGAGAAAGCGAAATTTCCTTTCACGTGCCAGACTTTGGGAGCAAAAAACTGTACCATACGAGATACAACAAGGAGGTATGCCATGCACTGTATTTTTTCCATAACAGTACCACACTATTAGTGGATATAAAAGGTAACAAAATAATAAAACATCATGATGATAAAAGATTCGTTAAAACTTTGGTTTTTCAGTTGCACCCAGCACGCGAGAAAAGATTGCTGAAGCTATTAAAGCCTTTCAGGATCTGACCTGTGTAAGGATCGTACCTCGTTCACAGGCGACTAATTTAGGTCACAACTCATACGTTTATTTTGTCAATGGGTAAGTTAAATCAGCCTTATCAATTTGGTTAAAATATTCCAAAACATTCAAATAAAAGTACATCTCTTCAGAAACAAAACAAAAAAAACAATTTACAATCAATTATGAATTTCAAGGAATATTTAGAATATGAATGGAATATATGTAAAACTAATCACTTGGCTTAATTATATTTTGTGTCTTTTCATCCATGAAGGCAAGGATGTTCCTCGTATGTAGGGCGTCAGTTGAATGGACAACAACCCATTTCTCTACAAGAACCAGGCTGTGGACAGGTAATCATATTTACCCCATCTCTGTTAATTTTTTAAATGAAATCCTGGCTAACAATTGGTTGAAGTCTGTCACATGAAGAGGAAGTATTACTTATATTCAGTCACAATAAAATTATGTATCTAATAATACCTTTAAAAATAACAGATTAAGTACATGTGTTTTACAAAGGAGCAGACTTTCAGAATTTCCTGGATATCGCATTCCAAACAGAAAACTGGCGGAGGTGTTTTGTAAATATCGAAGTCTTTTGAACTTTGTATGCGTTCAGAAATTAAAAATAAGTCGTCCTCATTAAAATACTTAGTTGTCAAATTGAAGTACTGGCAAAAGATACTGCGCAGGGCACTAAAAGTATTTCTATAATTTTTGAAATATTTTATAACTTTAGTTATATGTATTGAAATGCATGGTCAAGTACTGTGCACATTTGTTTTTAATTCTTCTTTCTTTAACACCTTTATAATCTATTTCAAATTTCAGACCAAAGTAGTGATTCATGAATTGATGCATGCTATTGGACAAATGCACGAACAACAAAGGACTGATAGAGACGAATACATCGAGATATTGTATGAAAATGTTCCATCTGATCAAAGAAATAACTTTGACAAGGAAAACACGCATGACAGAACACCTTATGACGTAGAATCCATATTACAATATCCCCTAACGGTAAGTACATGCAGACTATATGGGTGAAAAACTCTAATCTGACATATATGTATGCATAATTTTTAAAGATATAGATAATAAAAACTATTATAAAAAGTTGAAATGTAAAGAGATTCTACTACAAAAATGCAAATGATGAATTCGTTGATATAGTAAATACTTCAACATTACTGGTAAAAGAAAATCGGTATTCATGACTGAGAAGAATAATGTCTTTATTTTAACTTAACAGGCGTTCTCCTTGAGTAATGGACGACCGACGATGAAGCTGAAGGATCCCAGGCTAGAAGCTCTTGTGGACACAGCTCAAACGTTCACACTTAACGATCTAAAGGAGATAACTATTGCATACCAATGTGCTGGTAAGTGATGGAATTCTTATGAAATTAAGAAGTATAACATCTGAAGTCTGTCCCTTGATAATGATATGAAATTCTTATTTATATTTGAGAGAAAAAAAAATTCTGTTTTGAGTTTAGGTACTAAAGAAGAAGGTATGGTTTCCATACAAATTTTGCCCTGTGATTTTCTAAAAAATGAAACTGGTGTAAAAGTTGAAAACTCATGCTTTTTAAATAATTGAAATTCAATGCAGAAAAATCATACAAGTCATTTTTCTCACATGTGTTTTTAAATGCTAATTATGACGTCATAAACATGTGCATTTTCCCGTATTTTCTTTAAAAGTTGCAGAAGACACCAATTTTCAATGGAATTTTCTTTCAGATAACATTGTCCACAGGCATCGCCCACAAAGATTCTTGAGATATGTGATTTGTTATTGAATTTTGCATAAAATATCAAAAAATTAACGTGGGCGACGGCTGTGGACACTGTTTTCTAATGGAAAATCACCCTTGAAATGTGCCATTTTGAGGCTTTTTCTGTTGAAAATAGAGAAATTTTTCACATTAATGACGTCATATTTGCAAAATGGTAAACCTTCATGCCATATTCTTTCCTGATTTATCAGAGTCATTTATTTAGCTAATATTTAAGCCAGTTTCAAAACTTTTTGATGTCATTACATTTTTAGGGCGCAATAAAGCTAAAACCATACCTTCTTCTTTCAAATACGTACCAATTTCTGAAACGGTCATAGAAAATACTTTTTAAAAAATTAAAATTATGTCATTCTATAAAAACAAATAACCTTCCTAGTGCATCCTTCCTATTTTTACGTTTAAGAGGATTGCCCGGACTCACTTTCTTGTGAAAATGGTGGATTTGTGGCCCACACCTGTCAGTGTATGTGTCCTGCTGATCTCACAGGGGTCACGTGTGGAGAAGTGGTGACAGATACAGGTATAGTACAATCGACTAAGGAATCACGTTTTTAGACAGCTTCTGGAACTTTAAAGATCGTAGATGTAGTATTTTTTTTTCAAGATGCTTTAAATGAGTATTTTGTTTTATTTCAAATGTCAATTCAGAGATACATTTGTACCAACATGATTTTGACATTTGTTTCCTTCGATGACACATTTGTTTCCTTCTATGATACATTTGTACCAGCCTGATTTTGACATTTGTTTCCTTCTATGATATATGGTTATTAAGTGTTATTTGGATATTTAAAATTCTATAAGATATTCTGTGTTACTGAAACAAGAGTGACCTAATGGAGTGATCTGATCTGTAATTCACAGGTTGTGGTGGTGTGATCGATCTGTCTTCGGGAGAGAACCGAACCATTCAGTCCCCAAACTACCCCAGTACAGTGCCAGTGGATCGTGAATGCGTATGGCTCATCAAGGTAATTTTGTGTTCTTCCTAAAATAAAAAAAATGGGACTCGGTATTTTAATGAAATGAAACATATGGAGATAAAAGATTAAATGTCCATAAACAGTACAATATAGGAGCAGAGCAAACATGGACCTCCAAAACATCCGAGATGGGATCAGTTGCCATAGAGGAGTGACCATTCCCTTCCGACCGGTCACACCGGTCGAGAAAATAAAATAACAAATTATTTGAATATTTAATTATAGGGCCCCGCAAACTCCAATGTAAGATTAACTATACAGGAGCTGGACCTCGCGAGGAACTCAAATGACCTGAGTTGTTACCACTGGTTGGAAATCCGATACAATTTTCCCGGACAAACAGGAATTAGGTAGGCTTGATCTTTTACAGAAAGAAAAGGTTAATGAAAAAGTCTCAATTATGATTGAATTAAGATTCTCCATTTCATATTTGACTTTGATGTAAAATCAAACAAAAATCAATGTTTTGCACCTACAATAACGTACATCTCTATTTCATATTTGAAATGTATTGATGTAAACATCAAACAAAAATAAAATTTTGTACCTGCTTCATGTAGATGTGTATATAAGAAAATTTTAAAGCAAAATCCATTTATACCTCAAGGCAATGCAACACTCAGAGTGCAAACCGGCAAATCACAACCACGAACGACGGGGACCGAAACATTATGATCCTGAAATTTGACAGCAAGTTTTCTAAGGACGTACGGCCATCTCAGAATCAAAGATTTAGTTTGCAGGTTACAGCTGTAGGAGGTATTTCAAATGATTTTTTATCGTTATTTTTCTGTCATTTTGTAATTCTTTTATCCGTATAAAATGATATTTTAAAAGGGGGAAAGCGTGTCATTCTTTATCATAATCTGAAAAAGACCATTTCGCACCGTTTGAAAATAAATTAACCCCATACATTTTAAAGGCAGTAGAATTAGATAATAGCTGTAGTCTTTTTCAGAAATAACTTTTTTCACAGATATTAATACTTTTTTTCAAATGCTGCCATTTAGGGACATTGGTATCCAATCCATGTAACCCGAATCCATGTCAAAATTCCGGAACTTGTAGCGTCTCCGGATCGACCTATGAGTGCACCTGTACTTCCGGATGGTCAGGCACTAATTGTGATGTTGAAATGCAATCATGTCAGCCAAATCCATGCCAAAATGGCGGAACGTGTTCTATTGTTGGAAACAGTATTACATGTAACTGTCCTCAACCATTCACTGGTCCAAACTGTGAAGGTAAATATATTATGGATTATAGTACATTTGTTTCATTTTTATCCAAATCATTTTAATGAGCGCAAGCATTGATGACGTTTCCTACTGGAACTTTTTAAGCCAGAAACCTAACTGAAGTTAGGCCTTATTTAAATTGGACAATAAAATTTGATTCCTTTTAGATATTTAACTATTGCGACAACTTATAAAGACAAAGTTAAACATATAAAGTGGTTGCTTCTTTGTCCATCATATCAAGTCAAGAATGATATATTTTAGATAGCTTTATATCTGATCCGTGCAACCCGAATCCGTGTCAAAATTTTGGAAGCTGTAGAGCAATCGGATCAACCTATCAATGCACCTGTCGTACCGGCTGGTCAGGAACGAACTGCAATATTAGAGCCCAGTCTTGCCAGCCCAATACTTGTTTGAATGGTGGAACATGTTCAGTTGTAGGAACCAGTACTAGATGCAGCTGTCCTCCCAGTTTCACAGGACCAATCTGTGAAAGTAAGTTATGGAAATCTAAAAAAAAAATATGTAAGTTGACAATCATTGACAGTTTTTAAATTCCCAATACTAGATATTTCCGGTAGGTTTGATTTCGTTGTAACGAAAAAAAAACACTAGTAACTGTTTGAACTTGAGTGGTACCTTTTTCTATTGTAAACGACTAATATGAATAAAAACTGAATTCTTTTCGATATTGAACTTCCAGGAAGTGTCCTTTAGACAACATATGGAATTTTAAACTTTTGTTTTCGGAGTTAAGTATATGAAATGTTTGCTTCTTTGTCCATCATATCAAGTCCAGCATTATATATTTTAGATAGTTTAATATCCAATCCATGTAACCCGAATCCGTGTCAAAATTTTGGAACCTGCAGAGCAATCGGATCAACCTATCAATGCACCTGTCGTGTAGGCTGGTCTGGAACGAACTGCAATATTAGTGCCCAATCTTGTCAACCAAACACTTGTTTGAATGGTGGAACATGTTCAGTTGTAGGAACCAGTACTAGATGCAGCTGTCCTCCCAGATTCACTGGTCCAAATTGTGAAAGTAAGTTTGTGTATGACACAATTAGTGATTTATCATTATTATTCTCTATGAAAACAATAAAATTAACCTTAAATAAAACGATTAGGATGCCCATTTTGTTGGGTTTTCAATACTTTTGAAAATAAGAATTATCTTATGGTTTTGCCTGCTCTCTCTTACTTGAGGTATCAAAAGCAGCAAATTTATGAGACTTTTTAGCAATTATCGCATAAATTTTCTATCCTTATACAATTGTACATGTTTTTCATTATGTAAATTTTATGATATATAAAGAGCAATTCTTATACGCTCACATCTACAATCATAGGGCATGACATTTTAAAGCATCTGAAATATGATAAGCTTTTTTCAGGTTAACGATAATACCATTTTTTTTTTAGTTTTCACCGGTGGATGGTGGGGTAGAAGATAGTATTTACCAACCAATCAAGACTTTTCGCCAAATACACAAATCCACATTTTTTTAATTATTTAATGTTTTTGATATGTTATACGATATTTTGAATAAAAGTTTGGATTCTTTTTTTAAATGACGTTTTATTATTTACAAACATCTAATAAAAACCCTATCGTAAACAATTTTTGATTTAATGAGAGTGAATCTAGTCAACCAAAGGCATCAATCGATATTGACATCAATATCTGTTTATGTCATCGATATCTGGATTATCACACCAATATCTGATCATAGCCCTGTCCTCAAATGTTGGACATTCTCTGGATCTAACTGTAGATTTTAACTAGAGATGTCAATGAATAGTCGACTATTCGACTGTCAGTCAAATGGACCGACGATCGAATAATGAAACGACATTCGAATAAATAGATGCAAGAAAAGGAGGTGATCATGGAATTCTCATCTCAAAAATGAAAAAAAGTGTCCTTCCTCAAACTATACAGCTGTATAGTGTACGTCTTCAGAGGAATAAGAGCTCAAACACTGTTACAGTATATAAATAATAACCCTAACCCTAACTTATTTAAGAAAACCATTACATTCAAAGTGTAGAATACCTATCAGTTGTTTAAGGCTATCAGCTCATGCTTTAAGAGTACAGAGGGGAAGATACAGTAACATAGAAAGAAAAGATAGAAAATATGAAATATGTATGTCAGGTGAGACAGAGGACGAATTTCATTTTGTATTAAAATGTCCTCCATATGAAGAGCTTAGAATTAAATATATCAATAGTTATTATTTTAAAAAACTATCAGTATTTAAATTAGTACAGTTACTGAGTTCTAGAACTATTTTACCTGGGTAAATTTTTGTATTTTTTTTTCAATTAAGAAATGATGTTCTAAATAATAATTAAAAGATTTTGTTATGTAATTAACACACGCATATTGTACATGTATAGCCTGATCAAATCTTATGTATGTATGTATGAATATTGTATACCTATGAGATACAATGTCTCCGGTTCAAATAAAACACATCAAAACACATCAACACATCTAAAATATACATATGGAAAATACAGTAATTACATACCGCGATAATTATATCTCAATCGCTTATTTTTTTCTTATTGTACGTGGTATATTATGCAACGCTGTACTGGACTATAAAAATTATAATAATAAATTGGCTTCTACCAATTATTCTTATAAACTCTAGGAATTTCAAACGCTTAGGAACACACAATATTTTCATAGCCGTGAAGTATTAAACTTCGATAATTGTTAAAACAATAATCTTACATAAAAGACATTTTGATAGCTTGGGCAATCATTAATGAACAAACTTTAACATTGTCATCGGAGATTTGGAAAGTGTATGTTTATAATTCCCCATTTCCAATTTATTTCAATTTTCCAATTGATTTTAATTAATAATTTTTCAAAAACACTGTGCTATAACAAAAATAAATAAATGCTCCGAATAGTCGACTATTGATCGAAAAATGCAACCGAATGTTCGACTAAGGAAAAATAATATTTTGACAAAGTTTTGCTCAAATATCATTAGGTTGCGAACACTAAACGTTCTCAAGATAAGGATTAGGCAAAGGCACATGGCGTTTCATATTTTGTTATTTAATTAAAAATAAGTCCATACATAATCCTTATGTATGGGGTTATTTTTTTATAATAAGAAAATCATGCATCGTCAAATGACTGTATGAAACTTTTTTTCGAAAATATTGTGTAATCATAGGTCGTGGGTTCCAACCCAAGGCAGCAATTAAGCTTTAGTTAACAAAAAAGGTACCAACTGTTTAATTCTTCATCAGGATTTCTACACTTTGAAGTTCCGAATCTTACAAATTAGACATTAAAAACCGAAGCCTCATATCAGGACATGTGTTTGCACGAAAATAAAATCACGGCTCCTTCATTCCAAAAGAAAAGTCTAAATTGTAAGCTCTTCATCGGTTTATGGCTTTTATGTGAACAATCCTCTAACAGTATGTAAAGCAACATACAATCAAATATTAATTTATATATTTGCAAAGTATACACTGTATATATACATGTAGTAAAAGATGATGAAAATAGATGAGGACATTAGAAATTCCACTCAATTCTACTCAATGATCAAGATAAGACGAAATCCAATTTCTTTTAAGTGCAGTTTGAAAATTGTTTCAAACCACGGTCATGGTGCATTGCTGCATCAGGCCGCTGCACAAGTAAAACGGATAAAATGTTTATCGATTCTATGTGTAAAGGACTGAAATAGAGCAATATATAGAAGGATTAAAATTTTAATACCGAACGAAAAGTGATATAAGATTTGCTAGAACACATGATCTCTTATCCATAAATATGAACACGTACTGGAGGCGCAAAAGGCCCCGGCCGCAATGTTTTACCACATTTTTCTTTGTTCCCAGTTGATACTTTGGTGGCACTTCACTGCAGACCTGAACACGTTGCTTTTGAAGAGTTCTTTACCAGACAATCTTTTGTACATTTGTACATGTCTTCCTTTTCTTCGGCTGACATTACAAAGCTATCTTGCAGTCGTTTTCATTTCTTGAAGACAAAAACAAATTGGGTGCATGAATGTGTATTTATTTCTGTTTTTTTTTAGTTTAAAAAGATGCATGTAGCAAGACAAACCGAAATCAAAAAAAATTTAACACCCTAAGCGATTATAATTTCTATTGTTTTACCATTCATATTATTTTTATAAATCTGTAATTCTTATCATTTTAAAGGTCAATTTTGAGAAGCTCTTCATTTAATGATTATGAAACTTTACGCAACTTATCTTCTTCATTTATAACGTATAACAAGGTTTACAGAATTGTTTTATTTGTGTTTTGAAAAAAATTGCTTGAGAGCATTTCAGAGAAGGGAATATTTCGACTAAAATTTGTTGAAACATTTTATTGAATATTGTGTATACTTATAATGCAGCAATCTTGCATGTTTTTTTTTGTTCTCTTTCACTGGAAAATTTTCAAAAAACTGCAAACAAAGTGAACCCCTTAAATCTTCCCTTCGAATATAGACCTTTGATAAAATTATATATGCCAATAATTGCTCTTCTCATAGAAAAAAAAGAACGATGGTCTTTACTAAAATAATGATTAGGATTAATATAATATCTTATTCCTTTGAAAATTCAAGATGAAATACATGTACATTTTAAAAAATTAAACTGAAAGAAAAGTTTCTGCAAGATTGAAAATAATGATGTATAACAAATGTTTCTTTAACGATTAAAATGGTTAAATAAACTATACATTTATGAAATAAAAGACCAGAAAAACAAACATTGCAAAAAGATGAATATTACTCACCAAGAACACACTGCTGAATAAAAAGAAAACTTCTTTAAAGTACACCGCAAAAATGCACTTTTCGTTCAGTTAAGCTCAGTCCGTTAATTTTTTTAACAAACATCTGAACCAGTCAGACAGAAATATCTGGCAAAATCATGCTTTAAATCAAGATTTCAAGATGTTTACCATCAAACGGAATTTATTATTGATCTCAAATTTGATCAAGCACACTTTCTTAAAAAAAGTCGTTCAATGTCTTTAATCCGTGTACTTTCTGAAAAAATAACAGGAAATGAAGGGATAGAGCTAAGACCCTTTAGAGCTACTTGTACACACTGGTTTGGGTATATAATCACTTGTTATTTTACAAATACTCGTATCTGTTTTGATGATCAGAAAATGGTTTCTTAATGTGTGTGTTTTTATCCTGTTCATATGATATATAAAGCACAGTACACCATCTCACAGGTATACTAGATTGTGTGTCTTCAGAAACCTATGAAGATGAATCCCCTCTCTTTGTTTGTAGCTGTCATGTCTATAAGCTATGGTCTAGCTTTATATTTACCAAGTGGAAATTTTTCCAGGAGAGGTGAATAATTTTTGCTGTAAAATGTTTTGTTATTGAGTGATTTCATAATTTTAATTTATCATTGTTTAAAAGATGTAATTCATACGATTCTCTGATATAATGCTAAGAAAATTTTTCGAACAATATATATTTTTTAAAAAACTAAACTATCCTCTTTGAGCATGATTAAATCAACGTTTGAAGTAAATTCAATGAATGCTTTATAAAGTTTGTTTACTAAGTAGTTTATCAATGAAATATATTATAATTTTAAAAAAATAGATTAATAATCATTTCAAATAAAATTTCAGCTTTCGCCTCGGCGTCAACATCGTTTCACTTACCTTCTGGGTTTTATTGGTTTCCATGGGAAATGTTTAAGCAGGTGGATCAATGGCAACCAAATCTAATCAACTCCTGGGTATGTAATACTGTTTTACATGATTAAATAAAAAAACAGGTTTAAATGTGTTTTTATGTTGCAATGTTTTAGTTTTATTATCATTAAATAGTTTTTCTTTTTTGAATAATGATACTGATCTTAACATGTTTATTATCATTATAGTATTACGAGACAAAACCAAAATAAAATTTTCTTTGTATGTTCCCCTTTGTCTATTTTAATTTTTTTCATCGTTTTTTTAAACACAGGATAGAGTAACACAAGACACGCCGATCGCAAACCTTTTACAAACAATGATCTTCTACGATGATCAAGGAAGACCCCATAAGGTAAATACGTCAAAAGTAGAATAATATCATGTTTAGTTAAATATAAAAAGCTGGAAAAAAGATTTATTCTGGATTATTCCAAATATTAGATGTACAGATTTATTGATTACTAGACCTGAAATGAAATTACTGTCTTTAACAAAAACCCTTTCCTTCTAAATTCATGATGTATGATATAAAAAGATGATCAACAGTTCAGTAAACCTTTCGTAGGTATTGATAGACCAAAATTGCAATGATCATGGAAAATTTTCTGAATTCAAAGAACTTACTCGTCCTCCTAATAGCCAGATGTTGGTATCATACACGTACAACTAATATGGTACATATGTATAACATTTCTTCCTACAATATCACAGCCTCTTGGAATAAACCCGGCTGCAAAAGAAAGCGTCAAAGTAGCTGCTGCAGATCACCATTATATACCACAAGCAGTAAGTGTTGGGGCCATGATTCTATCATTATGACTAATCATTAGGATTTTTATCAACAAAAATCAAAATAGAAATAGCACTTTTTTTCAAATTATTTCTTAATGTCTTAGGCTCGCTGTGAATTTAACGGAGTATAACAAGATGTTATTGAATAAAGTGATCAGCATCAGCACTAACATTATGTTTTCATTTACATGATTTATTACTTTTTTTAAAATGCTCTATACAATGCAATTAATTTTCCTTTTAAACCGTAATGTTTCTACTTAATTCCATAGAGAAAAAATTAAATTTATATGATTGGATATTGCATCTTTTGTAGGGTGGATCTTTCGGAAGGGCAAGTATAAAACTTATTCAATTCCTTGGAACAACTTATTACACATTTTGAACGTAAAATAAAGTCTAATAAGTTTAATGTCAACAATGAGGTTTTTCTCACAAGATAAATGTTCTTATGTTTTAGAGAAAGAGAAATTTCCTTCAGAATGCATTGCTGTGGGAAAATAATATAGTTCCATATGAAATTCAGACTGGATGTAAGTCCCCCTTTCCCCTTTTCTCTCTCTCTCTATCTCTCGTTCTTTGTATAATGTTAAGAAGAAATAGCACGTTTGATATTTACAAACTTTTCTAAAGCTTGATAAAGGTTTCCTTAACTCTGATTTTAACAACTGGTACGAGAAAAAGCAGATGCATACAAAATTAAATTAATTACCACTGTACCTTCAAGTCCCTTGCTTTTACTTATTCATTTTCTTACATATCACTCTATTTCTTTTGTAAAATTTAGCTTTTGTGGGAGTGTGGAAGATATCAGAATCATGCATTTTACCATATACTGACTTCGTGCACATACAACTTTACAAAAACTAACGTTTTATTTGCGAGAACTTTATTTTTGCGTTATTATGCGAGGCAGACTTCTCGCAAACATTTTAATTTTCATATACAATGTATTTTTATGATACTATTTTTTTATATATACAGCAAAAACCATCATAAGCGAAAATTTTGTTCCATGTATAAATACCAAATACCTATCTCGCAAAAATAAAATGTCACAAATATTTAGTGAAAAGAGTATACTAATATTTGCCTGATCTCATTTAACAGTTAGTGGAAAAATGCAGCAAGCAATCCAGGAAGCTTTTAACATATTCCATGAACTGACCTGTGTTCAGTTTGTTCCACGCGCCCAAGCCACTGGATTGTCGCATCAAGGGTACATTTACCTGGTCCAGGGGTAATTAATCGTCCTCTTTTTTCATTTGTTTTATCTTTAATTAACAAAAAAATCCTTTTTTCAATATTATGTGCATTTATATAAATGTACGAGAGGTGATCAAAAAGTTCGAGAACTAATTGAATAACTTCCAAAAGAGAAATGGTATCGTGTTTCAGTGTTGACATTTCTTCAAAATAGTCCTCTCCGATTTTAATAAGCATCTGCAATCGTTCTGCCCATGCGCGGATCACGTGATATAGGTGGTCACGTGACATGCTCCCTAGCGTTCTGTCCCAGAAGCTTAAAAAATTTTCCGACTCTTGTATTTCTTACTATGCAAGTTATTCTTTATAACAAAAACAGTTTATTCGTCAGACATGGCCAAATATCGGCAATACTGATAGTATGAGTAGATAATGTTATCCTTTTGCAGAATGAGCGTGGTGACCATCAAAATCAAAGTCCTCGTCGTTTATTCCATGTGGATGAAGTATTGGTGTTTTCACTTTATCATATCTGATATGTTTAAAGTCTAATAAAACGATATTTTGGGGATTTGATAATTATATTATTGTAAAGATATTCATCTATTTTTCTAACTGGAAGTTGGCGATATTTCATATCAAATTGCTTAACAAAGGACACGTCTCTTTACCAGTTTGCTTTCACTGGGCAACAGAACAATCATCATTTTTAAACATCTCCCATCCTTCACTTAAACAATCAATCCACATAATGACAAAAACTATTATTATAAGCTTCTGCAAAGGAATTTCCAAGATATACGATTAACTTTAAAGCCGTTCGTTTCTCTAACTGAGTCAACCATTTTGTGTTACAAGTGATCAACCTTATGAGGTCTTTTTCACTTTGTGACGTCACAAATACGGGATGAAACGTTCCATTTCATATGCTATATTTAGAAAATGTGTTTGACTATATGTGTGCCAAATCTCATTCTGATCTGAATTGTGGTTTTGTAAATAAAGAGATAGTTCGCGAACTTTTTAATCACCCCTCGTAAATTAAAAAACTTACCAAGATTGATGAAAAACGTATAGATTTATACTTCAAACTGAAAGAAAAACTACTACATGAATGAATGTATCTAAAACATTTCAGTTTAAAAAAAAACAAATGGATAATACATTTACATTTGATAATAGGAAATCATTATTAAAAATGAAAATGTAAAGGATGGTCTTATTTCAGCCAAGGATGCTCGTCATTGGTCGGTCGTGATTATAGAAATACTAGACAGGAAGTCAATCTTCAAGAGCCTATGTGTACCTCGGTGAGTACATTACAAGATTCTTTATCTCCAACAATGAAATCTCGAATTCTTTGGATATGTCGAAGTGATTCGGAAGTGCCAAGCAATTATTACTTTGGTATTTTATTTTTAATGTCTAAAATCTTTAGATGTCTTTTTTCTAGGTCCTAATGAATTTGAGATAACGAGATTTTTTCATTTCAATTGAATTATGTATGAGAATCTTTATTTATTTTCTTTTAAAATTCAATCATTTTCAGACTAAAACCGTTGTACATGAATTAATGCACGCCATCGGACAAATGCACGAACAATCGAGACAGGATAGGGACAGATATATTGAGGTTTTCTTTTCAAACATACAACAAGGCGCAGAAAATAACTTCGAAAATAACCTACCTACCCATGACAGGACACCATACGATGTTGAATCTATCATGCAATATGCACTCACAGTAAGTATTATCATATACCGTTTATCATCACAGACTCGAAGCTACGATGCAAGGTGGGGGGAGGGGGGCAAACATGATGAACTGACAAAATCGAGGAATTTGTAAGTGCTCGAGAGTTTGTGTGGGTATGAATGAAATGAAAATAAAAATGGAACCAAATTTTGCCTTATTTATCAATTAAGGCAAAATGTCGCCCCCAGTTTTATGGATAATTGCTGTATTCAGCAACTTGTGAATTTTTCTAGGCGGCTTCCATAAATGGTCTCCCAACTATGAAGTTGAAAGACAGCCGATTAGAATCTCTTGTTGATAGCGCTCAGTCTCTAACTCACAATGACGTCAAAGAAATCACACTAGCCTATAGTTGTGCAGGTATGAAAAGCGTTTCAACAAACTTATGATTTTTAATCTTCAAGGTTTTAAATTTGTCAACCCAGTTCTGTAACAATTACTTTTTCATTGTAAAAAGGTATCTTTATAAAGATAAAGGAACTTAAATTAAAACTTAGATTTAGAAATGGACAATTTTGATTTGTTTTACGCAAAATTCATTATACCTTTAACTTTCTTTAAGTTTACATGAATATTAGATATAAGGGGAAATCTTTTCGCTCTTCCTTTTTTGCCATAAATGAAATTAAATGAACATAACTTATATTCAATGTGTTTTAAAGCAAACTGCCAGAATCCCCCTTCTTGTCAAAACAGCGGATTTGTTGCTCACACGTGCCAGTGTATGTGTCCTGCAGATCTAACCGGTAGTACCTGTGAACAGGTGGACACGGATTCAGGTACGAAATTTGTTTATGATATATTATCACATGCTTAAATAAATCAACAGTGTTTTTTTCAAAGGTTTGATTGCTGCTTATTAAAATGAGCTTTATACATGAAAAATATGGAGATAACGAGCATTAATTAAAAATCAAAAGTCCATAAAACAATGCAAAAAAAGGAACAAAGCAAATACAGGCCTCGAAAACATCAGAGGTGGGATCAGGTACCATGGAGGAGTGAGCATTCCCGTCGACCGGTCTCCACCCTGTGATCCTTGTCATGATCGGGAAATAACGGAAAAACCCGTCGTCATTTCAGTGTCTAAATAATTGACAAACAATTTCATTAAAAACATTCACTTGAACGGAGAGAAGTACGAAAGGAAAAAATCACATGTGTTTTAAATAAGTGATCTGTTTTTAGCAAACAATCTTAAAACAAATTTTGATTGATCTTTTGAGTGTATATTGTCCATTGTCCCATTCGAGAATTTTTCACTCATATAGAGACTTAAAAAATTTGAAATGCAAAATAGCATATACATTTTTTTAATTACTTATTTAATGTAATTATTTTATGTAATTTATTATCTGACTTGTTGAAATGAATGAAATAAAATTTTCAGACTGTGGTGGAATCATAGATCTAGCTGCTGGACAAGAACACAATATTAAGTCACCAAACTACCCCAATACTTACAGTGTGGACAAAGAGTGTGTTTGGATGATCAGGGTATTTATGTTTTACATGTTTAATTTTTTTAAAAAGGTTTAATGAAGTTTAAATGGTATGAATTATTAGCGCTGATATTTAATTCTACTCAGTTTCACTGCTGATGCTTTCATAATGTTGATAATTATGAATAATCAAGTGTAAAATTAACCTTTGTAATTGTATTGAAATTGAAATTTTAGAATTAGGATGTTTGTAAAACTTTTGCTTAAATGTTCATGAATAATGTTGCAAATAAATGTATGTGCATAAACTTTCATTCATTTTCAGGGGCCAACCAATTCCAATATAAAACTTACCATTCAAGAACTTAATTTGGCAAGAAATACACAAACCTCTGCTTGCTATCATTGGCTCGAGATCCGCTACAACCTTCTAGGACAGACCGGAATCAAGTGAGTTCTGATATCGCTAAGCTTGAATACCGCAAACAATTTCATATCGTTAAAGTTATCTCCCTTTATGTAATTAAATCGCCATCATTGCTTCTCGGCAATCTCGCTGATATACATATTCCTTTTTGCAAACAATTTCATATCGTTAAATTTCTCTCTTGCAATTAATCTTTCATCATTGCTTCTTGCTGATATGCTGTATATATTTAGACAAGAAAAATTGATAATGTGCGATAACTCATCAATAGAAAGCTTTATTGCTAATATTAATCGTAAGAGACCTTTTTTTTACAGGCAGTGTAATACTCCAGCAAACCAAGTTTTAGAGTATACAACAACTGACGATGGAAACAAAAACATAATGATCTTGAAGTTTGACAGCAGGCTATCCAGAGACCAGCAGCCTTCTCAGAGTCAAAGGTTCGAGTTGAAAGTCCAAGCCATTTCTGGTAAGATGTATTTGAAACACTGTTCCCAGGTTTTTCATGAAGTTTGCAATCATGTTGTAAATTCTGAATTTACTAGGGGGAAGTCAATTTATAAATTTTGCATTTACATCGCCCTAGTAAAGTCAAAAGTTACAACATGATATTTGCTGTAGGAATTTTATGTGTCGTCAAACTCTTTATAAAAAAAATAAAAATAAGAATTGTCATAGATAGATTTTAATTATAATTAACAAAGTAAAACAAATCTGAATAATCTAGTAAAAATACCTTCTGGTTTTCGTCATTTCAAAACCCATTCATTAAACTATATTATATTAAAAGATTTAGAAATTTTCATAAGTCCATAAATTGCCATAGACCTAGACTCAACATGCATAATTCTACAGAATGGAACCTGTCTTAATTTAAAATAAAGTAAAATACCCATTGCGTAGTTAAATGTATCAATGGATTATTCTGGTTTTATTGTTTAATCAACAGCATAAGGCTAACATCCCTAATAAACTCCAAGTTTGTTTACGGTTTTCGAGAAGGTCACTATTTCACTTTTAACTATAATATATATTTTTTGTGAAACATCTTATTAAAAGGCAATTTTAATTAATTGCCATTGTCTTTAGTGTTTTTTTACTACTAGATAATCTATTTTAACTATTAGTCAAATGTCCTATATTTCAAAATTTTATTGATATTGCATGCTTTTTATTTAGGATCAACAAACCCAACAAATCCATGTAGTCCCAATCCATGTCAAAATTCTGGAACATGTAGCGTTTCTGGCTCGTCTTATACATGCACGTGTTCTTCCGGTTGGAGCGGTACAAACTGTGAAATTGCCTCACAGTCCTGTCAGCCAAATCCTTGTCAAAACGGCGGGACCTGCCAGTTGTCCGGAGGCAGTATCATCTGCAGCTGTACCTCTCAATATACTGGACCCAATTGTGAACGTATGTTTTTGAACATAAAAACTGTTTTATCATTTTTGTTTTATTTCATGTTTTATTAGCTCAGACTAGAACCCCAAGTTCCAGTTTTTGATCCATAATATTTCGATAACCTTTTTAAATTAAAGTCAATTTTCCCCTTTTATACATTTATGAAATCAAACAGATCTTACCGTTAGGTCAAGATGACAAAAAATACTTTCTTTCCACAGAAACAACGCAGTTATGTGATCCCACCTTTTGTCAAAACGGGGGAACCTGCCAAGTGTATGGAGGATACACGTATTGCATCTGTCCCCATCCATTTTATGGTCCGAACTGTCAATGTAAGTCTAAATAATCACTCATTTTCATTACAAGAATCGAACTGATTGTTTTAGAACTCTTTCACAGTTCTGAGATGATAATCAATGGTTCTAATATTGAAATATTTCTACTTTTATTTGAATGAAACACTAACTTTTCTTTTTTATTTTAACAGATCATTATTTTGGAAGAAGATAAGCAATACCGGAAAACATCACTTATATGATTTCTATTACATTAATAAAAGTACATCACAAAACCTTTTTATCTTTTTTTTTTTTTTTTTTTTTTTTGGTTTGATTGACTACATTAATAATTGTTCTTTAACGAATGTCTTAGTTTTTAGAACATGTATCCAATCCCTTTCAGAGTCTTCAAAGATTATAATTCGCATGATTTATAAACTCTGGTATGACGTTTTAATATGCTGCTCCTGACACGGAGACGTTAAAAACATTCGGCGTCAGTTTTGGGAGCTTTCTGCAATTTGATGCACCGAGTACAATTGTGTCGATGGGTTCATTATTTTTACCAGTCTGTTCAGCGCTTTCATCATCATCCTGCATTGCTTCATTATCTTCAAGAATTCTAATTAAAAGACATAAATGTAAAATATACGCAACTTATTATCAAATGCAATTGATTTATATGCCTTCATTTATATTAAGTACAAATTTCCGCTGTGACCGCGTACATAGCGTAAATTAATACCACGCGGAAAAAAAGTACTTCTACAGTATACGCAACTTATTATCAAATGCAATTGATTTCTTCTACAAATAGCTGGGAGACGAAACAAGGAATTCAAAATTTAATATGCGACTACGATTGACTACTTACTAAAGTGCCGTAGTATGCTAATTCTTGTTAATACTAAGGTGTTAAGTGTAGAGTCTATACTTAACAAAATTTCTTAGTGTTCACTCTAATAAATGTATTTATTCAAAAACTAAATGATAGAATGGTAAGATTTTTTTTTAATTATTATAAATATTGAGTCTTCTAAACCATTGTTGAAAGAAAAATTATTATCACCGATGAAAAACAACATCCTGTGACGATGCTTAAAACAATAAATAGGTACTTTACGGCACGTTTTTTAATCAGCATAATTTTATGACAATTATCAATTAAAATTATTTTACTAAATAATACAAAATTAAACATTGGTAAATGACCATTGAAAAATGAGGGAGAGCTATTCGAATGTTGATATCTGGATCATCCTTGCACTACGATTTACGCACTTTTATTTTAGTGCCTATTTCTGATTGATATTATTCAAATAAATAAACAACCTGTTTAAAATTTCATTTAAATTTTTTTCAATAGGATGTTCATTAACTTTCATCACAATTTGAAAGCTTTGGACAAACTTTAACCTAACCGGAAGGATTCTGGATCTTCGTCTGAGGCCAAGGTTTCGCGTCACAACCAGGTTAAAAGATTATTACATTGTCCTAAAATAATTTTAGGAACACTAAAACAAATTCAGCTGTAAGTAAATGATGAGAAAATGGTGGTCTTGGTAGTCAAATAACATCTCAAACAGTCTTCATCTTTTAAGCGGTACACTTACGTGCTAAATGCCAAAAGATATTGTTCAAAAGTTATCTTTGTGATGAATGATGATGCAATGCTAAATACCCGGATCTGAATCCCATTGATCACGTTTGGGAATTTTATGAGGAATTTCACACCCCTCCCCCTTCCACCTTTCAATCAATTTCAATGGTTTAAAAATATTCATGCAGTATGTGGCAGCAGATGGGACAATCTCCTATTTAGGGGTACATGGCATCCATGAGAAAAGGATGTCTTGCAATAATTAGAGCGAGTGGGCGTCTTATTCCATAGAGATTATTTTAATTGAATTTTCATGTTGAGGGTACATCATGTCTTTTACACTTTGCTGAAAATTCTAAAGAGAAACTTACATAAAATTTACACACCATCGAACTAAAATATGCGTCATTAACCTTGAATTTAAAAAATTATTTGTTATATATATATTTAATTTGTTCTTAAAGAAACTTTAAAAATGTTGGGTGAACACATAGAGTTCTCAAACGGGACATGAAGCAACATACAATCATACAATACACTCACTTATTAAGTCTTTATATTTGCAAAGTATACACTGTATATATAGTAAAAGATGATGTAAATACTGAAAATTCACATATTTTCTTGGGGTCAAATTTTCAGGGTTTGAGGAAAAAAGATTGGTTTGTGGGGATTTGAATTCGTGGTTTTAAAATGTTAAGTAGTAATGCATATGACATTTTTACATTTCATGGTGCATATGAAATCGTGAGTCTCTTCATACCTCGAAAAACAAGGAAAATTAACCTCCCATGAAAATTAGTGATTTGACAGTATATGAAGACGTTAGAAATTGTACTCTATAATTGAATGAGCAAGATAAGAAAAAAAATAATCCAATTTCTCTTTAGTGAAGTTTAAAAATTAAAAAAAATTCTCCAGCCAAATGATATTGTCATTGCAAAAGTATAATGAATGAAATATTTGCCAATTCTATGTCTAAAGGACAAAAATAGAGCAACATATTGGAGGCTTAATATTTTACCGAAATGTGACATAAGATATACTAGGACACACGATCTCTTAACCTTATATATATTTCCATTTCCAATTGTTTTCCCTATGATAAACACTACAAAAGTGAATCTTGCTTATTCCTCCGTGATTCCTGTCGCATGTAAATTTCTCTATTGAAATACTACTGAAAGGTCAAATGTCAAACTTGCATGTATATGAATGGCGTATAAATACACTGAAAAAAAAAATGTTTTTCTTTAATTGTTTACTAAGTAATCAGATATGATATCTCTTTTTACAAAAAAAATAAATAATGAATTATCTTCGGATAAAAAGCAAGTCACGAGTGCAACTCTTACCATTATCACCGAGGCCTCATGAGACCGAGAACTCCACTTCCGTAAACATGGTAAACAGCACATCTGAACCACGTAGAGAAATCGGCCGATACAGACATCGTCCCTCAGTCATTAACATCCAACTTCTTACGCAATTCAATGTCTTCTGTTATTTTAACACACATAATTCTGTTTCCTGACCATGCTGACCGACTCCCGTTTCATCAACTGCAATATTGCATTCAATATGGCGGCGGAGAAATGACGTAGTGCCTATACACGTGCTCGTGTTCCCGACAACCTAAATCTTGGTCACATATATAATTAAAGTTAACAAGATTGCTTTGATCATAACTTAAAATTCTTTTGTTGTTTATTTTATAAAAGTAATTATAATAATTAAATTTGTTTCGTGTTTGTATGGGACTATTTTTTTAAAGTAAAATTTGACGTCATGGGGTGGGGCAATGGAGAATAACATGGAATGCTTCGTGCATTTCAAATCTACTAAATTAGACGGTATTTCGAGTTATTTCAAGTAAAAATGGAAATATAATAATAACTTCTAGGTAGGAGAGTATGCCAGGGACATCAACAATAGTGGGAAACATGGGCTAATTTTAGCATAACGGTCAAATGTCTTCCCCTTCCTCATCAGACACTGAACAAAACTATTTTGCAGTCACCTTTATTCCTTTAAGTTAAAAACAAAAGAATGTATACAATTATACTTATTTTGGTTGAAACAGATGCATTGTATGTAACCAAACAGAATCAAGCAATTTTTAAAGCGACAATACGGCTGCAAATCGTGTGCTTTTTAAATCAAATTTACCCAATATATCATTAAGGAATGAGGTAAAAAGTTGAAGTAAGCAGTTTGAGAAAAATAAATAATCTCTCCTCATACAAAATTAACGTCATTAGAATCTGCCGGAAAATCAAGGGTCATACAACTTAGATCTGTTGATTTGTACCGCATGAATTCTAAAATGGCACATGCATACAATCATTGACAATGTAGGGTTTACAATTATAATCGAATATTAGGTAAAAGCAATTCCCAGAATCAAAATATCATGACTCTCCGGTAAATTAATAATAGTTAACATTTTAGTCTGCATTCAGATGAATTTAACTTGATTAAGTATAAATGTTGGCGCTTTGTGTATTGGGGTGCAGGAAAGGAAATCCACCAAATCATACGTCATCGCGGCAAAATGTCAAACATAATACCTTTCTGCAGTTCCAATACAATTTGCACTTCAAATGGCAATAATTTTCATATGTCGTAAGTGCATTTGTATGTTGAGTTTACAGTGAATTTTTTTTCTTTGAAAGCCATGGAGATACGAGAAATGACAGCATGGATCAACAAACCTGTAGGGTAGAACCTTCGCGAGCCCAACGTGTGTGTCAGCGAGATCCCGTTTCTTCTTTATCCAATGATTATATTAATCTCCCAATTAAATTGTTGTCAGGGAAGTTGCTTGTAAATTTCAAGCCCTATTTTTGGTTTCGTTTTTCGTTTTGGTTGACTTTGTCAATGTAGCAGGCCTACTGGGCTTCCCTCTCTTACCATGCTGCTTTGTTTTGTCCAAGATTTTTAATTAATTTTTGTGTGAAATGCTATTAAAATATATAAGTCGTAATATTAAAGAGAAAAAATTAACTTCAATTCTGTGTCCAAGTACCTTTAATATACAAAAGAAAACTAGTACATATATTTTCTACAATAATAACAATAGGCAACTTATATAAAAGAAACTAGTACATGTATTTTCTACAATAACAATAGTTATGGAGGATTGAAAGGGTGGAGGTGGGTAAAATTTGTAAACCACACTTTCGGAGCCCGAAGTTGATAAGGATAAGGCTAATAGCCGTAACTAGAGGGCGCTTAAATATAAAACCCGGAAAATCCCTTCGGGACCCATGGATTCACACAAAATGGTGGTTAATAAAAATATTCAATTTTGTTCGCATTTAGATCACATAAATTCCTATATATACATAAAATACACTTGTTCATTGTTGAAAACTTCTTTATTTAATGAAAATTAATATAATGTAGCTTAACTTCTTTATTACTTTGTAAATATAGAGAGTTGTTCATTAGTGATTTTGAAAAAAAAATGGCTCTCACGTATTTAAGGGAAACAAATATTTTAACTAAAGTGGTTGAAACTCTTTATTGACAATTGTGAACACTAATAATGCAACCATCTTGCATGTTTTGTTCATTTTCGCTAGAAAAATATTTCTACACAGCAAACAAATTTAATTCTTCAAACCTTCCAATCGCAGATAAACTACTATAATTATATATTATAAATTATAAATAAAAAAATTATGCGTGCCAATATCAAATTGAATAATAATTAGATCAATTGAATCTGTTATTTCTTTGGAAGTTTAAACGGAAAAACATTTTTAAAATGTTAATTCTATTTCATTAATCTTTACGAAAGGTTTTCGCAAGATGAAAATAACAATGTTCAACAAACGTTTCTGTTAATGATAAACATGGTTATACGTTTGAAGTAAAAGCCCTGAAAAAATAAACATTGCAAAATATGATTATCACTCACCAAAAACACACTGCTGAATAAAAAGAAGAAATCTTTAAAAGTGCAACTAAAAATGAACTTTTGCGCTCGGTTAAGCACAGTCTGTTTTTAACAAACATCTAAACCAGTCAGGCAGATGTCTGGCAAACCTGTACTTAAAATCAAGATTTCAGGGTGATTACCATCTAAAGGATCTTAATATTGATCTTTCAGTCATGCTCACTTTCTTTAAAAGTCATTTAATCCGTGTACTTTCTCTAAAAAAAAAGTAATAAAAGGGATGAAAATATGACCCTTTTGAGCTACATGAGCACACTGGGTTGGGTCTTTAATTATCTGTTACTTTACAAATAATAATATCTGTTCTGATGATCAGAAAATGATTTCTTAATGTGTGTTTTTATCCTGTTCATATATTATATAATGCACGGTACAACATCTCGGAGGTATACCAGAGTGTGGGAAACAGATGAAGATGAACCCCCTCTCTTTGTTTCTGACTGTCATTGCTATAAGCTATGGTCTAGCTTTACCAAGTGGAAACGTTTCCAGGAGAGGTGAATAGGTTTTTTTCTGAAATATCTTTCGTTAATAAACAAAATGTCTTGTCCTAAATAGATGTAATAACAAAATGAAATGAACGTATGATTAAAACCTGAACAAGTTTTAATGACAGGATCATCAGGAACATATGTTTGATCCCTTATCTATCTTTTTTGAATTTTTTTTTTAATAAAGTTCTGAAGAAATTTAGAACAAATAATTAATTTCAGATCTTCACTTTTCATCAAACTTTTCTTGCTATCTGCATGCATTTGGCTTTTGAAAAGAATTTTATAAATTACAATATGCATGAATATCAATATAATCAAAAACACATTTCAGCTTTTGCCTCGGCATCAACATCGTTTCACTTACCCTCTGGGTTTTACTGGTATCCCTGGGAAATGTTTAAGCAAGTGGATCAATGGCAACCAAATCTCATCAACTCCTGGGTAAGTAATACTGTTTTACGTAATAAAAAAAAACGGATTTAATGTGTGTTTTTTTAATTTTGCTGTTATCATAATTATGAAATTTATTTTGAAAAGTATCATTTATTATTGTTTTTCTTTCTTTTTAATACAAGGATAAGGGGTTTTGTAACACACTTTAACACATTTAATTTTCATTATGATAGAATGCAAACTGAGAATAGTAGGAACTTCTTTATTTTTTTTTTTTAATTTTGCTGTTATCATAATTATGAATTAATATCATTTAATTGTTTTTCTTTGAATACAGGATGATCACAAGACACACCGGAAAACAATGATCTTCTACGCATAAGGTAAAGATTTTAAGTTATTTCGGATTAATAATTTAAAAGATTTGGGTAAATATCAAGAAGTTATTAAGGTGATTCAAAAAATTACTAAATATCATCAAATCCTATTGATAATAAAAAGTGATTTCTATACCTAAAATTAACTAACTGTGTTAAACAAATACTTTTTCTTTTTAGAAATAAAAATTCTTGATCGGTTTTATATATTTGTGTGTGTCTTTTAAACAAAAAAAACGATCAATAGTAAAGCCACAGCAAAATCTTTTACATCTATTGATTGTCCAAAATTGCAATAATAAAATGATAACTTTATTCATCTCCCTTTAGTCAGATTTTAGTAACTCGTGTAATATACAGCTATAATGGTCCATATGTTTAACATTTCTTCCTACAAATTACAGCCTCTTGGAATAAACCCGGCTGCCAAGGACAGCGTCAAAGTAGCTGCTGTTGATCACCATGTTATTCCACAAGCAGTGAGTGTTGGTTTTAGTTTTATCAATCATTATTAATTCTGTCTTCTATTGAAACCAAAGAAGACAAAAAACTAAATTACACTTTTTTACCTAATTGCAAAGGCGTATTATTCTCTCTCATATTTGATTTGTTTTGTGAAATGTCTTTCACCCTTCTGAAGATAAACTTTGCGTAAAAATTACTCAAATCTTTTGTAGGGAGGTTCCTTTGGAAGGGTATGTAGAGATTACTACATAGCATTCATTTCGTAGACCAATTTATGACATTGCAACATTGAAAATAAAATTATTTCATATAATTTTTAGCTCACCTGTTCAAAAAGTGTCCGTCTGTTATCTGTAAACCTTTCACTTTTCGACTTCTTCTCAAGACCCACTGAGTCAATTTCAATCAAACTACTTGCCACACAGGGAATTAAAGTGTGATGGCATTTTTCTTTTCAAGAACCACTGAGCAAAAAACGATGATGCTTGTATGAAACCTTCTTTACATACTGCAGATACAAGTTTTATCTTATTACGACCATCGTGGAAGGGCAGCCCCGCGAGAGGGAGTCGAAGTAATATATAGGAAAATATAGAAAATGTATCTAAAATCGTCTACTTTAAAACAGTAAAGCCATGATTATTTATAATATAATAGAAGTATGGGGGTAGGGGCTGGGTTACAACAGTGGGTTAAAGTTTTACATAGTATGATTCAGCTGTGTAATAATTAAACATTGAAGACCTCAAATAATTGAATTACATTACAACCCTTGGAATGGACTAGCCAAACTAAAGGGTTTATAATGCTTTGCAATGCTTAAGGAAAGTCAATTGAGCTGAAGAGGTTGGATGCTGAATCATCAATTTAGAAGTTAAGTTATTCCATCCCTAACAGCAACAGATTCAATAAAATTTAGTACATAACATGTGTGTAGATGGTTAATTCTATTTTATTTAAACATAATTAATTATTTATAATTATTATCACGTAAGAAAGGAATGTGTCCTAATTTATGGCCTGGAATTTGGTAAGGATTATCGCCCTCTCTTTTTAATTATTAAAAAATAAATTTAAAAAAAAATTGTCTTGTTAAAAAAAATCTTTCTCAATAGTCATTATATTTTCAATAATTTAATGTGTCTTTTCACCACAGTATTAATTGATATTCTTATTATTTGATTTTTTTTTTTAAATTTGTTGTCCCTATAGACTTCAATGCAATCTTTGTTAATTAACTACTGCTTAGTCAATGTCATTTTTTTAACTATATCTTTGGTAAACCTTTTCTACTATGAAATGATTGAAAGTTTAAACTTTCTCTTTGTGAATCCTTTTCTACTACGAAATACTTGAACCCGTACATAGGAAATATCTTTAGAATCTTAAGCTTCTCAAGAACAACTTAGCCATTATTAGTCGTGTATGTATTTATACAGTATTAACTTATGTATTATAGATTCACGTTTGCTCAAATCATAGGGGCACAACAGAGGGTCAATTAAGATAAAGTTTAACATAAGAATATATAAGAATCATCTGAAAAAAAAATCGTTTGATCAAGAATAGCAAAACCATTATTTATGTCAAATCATTAAAGAAACAACCTCAGATTTAAATTTAGGGTTGGGCAACAATGAGAGCTCAGTGTTTTACACAAGAAAACATACGATTGATTGATTGTACGTGTTTAACATACCATTCAAAAACTTTTCAGTCCTATAGAGACTTCAGTATATACTGGTAAAGAGCTTCAAATTTAGACCAAATTTTATTGTCCCAATTAACGCCTGTCGTGACATGGGACCTCGGTTATTAAGGTATCATCTGAGGGACCCACAACATTCACTTCAAAGCGTCGAGCGCTTGGCAAACGAAATGCTCTCTCTCTTTTTTTACTTAAGTCAGTCGCGGCCAGGCATTGATAATGGAGCAAGAGCTCTACAGAATTAGCTACCGTGATGAATAAAAAAAATGGGGGGAGAACAGCAAAGCCATGATTAGTAATATTGATATGGAAACGTCCAGAGGTCATGTAAATTAGAGCCCCTCCCCCTTCTGTTCAATACTGAAATGATATCTGCCTTTTCCTCGCCACTGAGATCAGGTGAGCAATGTTACCCATGGGGTTTTAGTTTAAGTTTATTATTATAAGTACGTTGAATTCTCACAAGGCAAACGTCTATATATTTTAGAAAAAGAGAAATTTCCTTAAAAGTGCTGTACTATGGGAAAATAATATAGTCCCATATGAAATTCAATCTGGATGTAAGTCTCTTTCTTTTTCCCTTTCTTTCTCTTTCTTATTGTGTTTGTTTAAATTTTATTACATAAACTTTCGTGAAAGAAGTTAAAGTTACAAGCTTTAATATTATAATGCTTAATTTTAAATGTTTTTTTTTATTTCCAATCAGAATAACTGATTGTACGGAAGCCCATTTAGGACCTATCAAAAAATATTTTTGAATTCGTTATAACGAATTTTAGAATTCGTTATAACGAATTTAATTTGTTATAACGAATTTAATTTGTTATAACAGATTCATTGAATTCGTTATAACGAATTTAATTTGTTATAACAGATTCATTGAATTCATTATAACGAATTTAATTTGTTATAACAGATTCATTGAATTCGTTATTGAATTCGTTATAACGAATTTAATCTGTTATTACAGATTTATTGAATTCGTTATAACCAATTCAAGAATTTGGTTATAACGAATTCAAGAAATCTGTAATAACAGATTAAATTCGTTATAACGAATTCAACAAATCTGTAATAACAGATTAAATTCGTTATAATGAATTCAATAGATCTGTAATAACAAATTGAATTCGTTATAACGAATTCAATGAATCTGTTATAACAAATTAAATTCGTTAAAACGAATTCAATGAATCTGTTATAACAAATTAAATTCGTAATAACGAATTCTAAAATTCGTTGTAACGAATTCTAAAATTCGTTATAACGAATTCAAAAATATTTTTTGATAGGTCCTAAATGGGCTTCCGTATGATTGTAGAAATCGCAGATGTAAAATAAATGTTATTATTGTTCTTTTCACTCAGTGGGTTTGCTTAATAACTATTTTCAACATATCACTCTATTTCTTTTGCCTAATCTGTCTTTTTGGGTACGTCTGAAAATCAGATTATGTGTAAAGAAATATATGCCTTATCTCGTTTAACAGTTAGTCCTAAAATGCAGCAATATATCCAGGATGCTTTTAAAATTTTCCATGATCTAACCTGCCTTAAGTTTGTTCCACGAGCCCAAGCCACTGGTTTGTCGCACAATACATATCTTTTCCTTTCCCGGGGGTAAGAGTTTATGTAATTTACCACAAAGATTTCTCTTTTTTTATATTTCGTGCAGTAATATAATACTGTTTACCGCATATTGTTATATTGATAGAATGGTGAATGAGATCTTAATTCGGTACTTTTTACAGACGAGGATGCTTGTCCTACATCGGTCGTGTTACATATATGACTAGTCAGGAAGTCAGCCTTGATGAACCTTCCTGTACAAAGGTAGGAAACTTTTTATAGACTCCCAATATATTCTTAATCTCGAAAACCATGGATATTTCGAACTGTATTAGAAGTCCCAACTACTTACTCTCAAGTTATTTTTACCCTTGATATCGAAAATATTCGGATATCTCAAAAAATTTTCACTGTCCTTATAAGGCTGAGATAAAGATGTAAAGACTGTTGTAAGATTGAAAATAATAAATATCTTTCATTGGACTCAACAGACTCCATGTATAAAATATACATATATATACATAAATAAACAAAACAATTGATGACCGAGAAATTTGAGTAAAATATGTGGGTTTTTTTCTCATTTTAATCAATCAGGTATGAACATCCTTTAAGTATATTCTTTATATTTCATTAAAAACAAAATCAATTTCAGACTCAAACTGTTGTACATGAACTGATGCACGCCGTAGGACAAATGCATGAACAATCGAGGCAAGATCGCGACAAATATATTGAGGTTTTCTTTTCAAACCTCGCCCAAGGTCAAGAGGACAACTTCGTAAATGACAAACCGACTTACGATAGGACTCCATATGATGTTGAATCTATCATGCAATATCCACTTACTGTAAGTATTATTATATACACTTTATCTCAGAAGGGCGTATTTTCATTTTTCTTCAGAGAATATTTCTTAAATATTCTGATTTTTTTAAACAAAAATATATATTTATTGGAATTTCAAAATATAAAACTGTTAACATTTATTCGACCTGTAAACATATGTAACTCATTTTTCTCTTGATTTCTTTTTCTTCCTGCTTTTGTTTTTAAAATATGAAGAACTTTACTTGGTTTATACTAAACTTGTAACTCAGTTTAAAAAAAAACATTGCACTCTTTTGATAATTTTCTTTTCCATGTATTTTTCGAGAAAATAGCTGTGCAATGAATGGTACATGTAACTGAATGTTAGAATTCTGGAATATGCTAATAACACCTGCGTCCATACGACGCAAAGGAATGCTTTTCTTTACTTTGGACAGACAACTTTATATAACTCTATCATAAGTTCATAACACTACTAAAAGGCTTGATGAAAACCAGTACTATTACTTTAAAATGCAACCTTTCATGCAGCATGTTACACAATGAATAAACATATTAAGCTTTAATCTTTAAACTAAAATTTAATCTTTCATTTTCATTTGTTTTCGAAAAAAAAATAAATGCTCGTTCCAGAGTTGTTCTTTCATCAGCTGTCCATTAGGTAAGTTTTCTCTTCTGTACATTCCAGGCATATTTTTAATAATTAAGACTGTGACAATAAATATTTCTTTAAATGGTGTTCTAGGCTGGTGCTTCCAGTCCAGGTCTTCGAACTATGAAGTTAAAAGACAGCCGATTAGAATCTCTTGTTGATACAGCCCAGACTCTCACTCACAATGACGTCAAAGAAATCACAATAGCCTATAGTTGTGCAGGTATTAAAGTTGTTTAATTACGAATACCATTTCTAATTTAAAATGAGTACATCAATTATAGTAATAGTTACTTTTTATTGTAAAATACTTATAGAACAATTCTCGATCATCCTTGAACTTTCAATAACGCATGGCAATCTCAAAGCTCCATAATTAGCTTTTCTTAAATTCTCATTGGTTAAGAAACTAATAACATCAGCAACTTTCAACTGTTGCTGACAACGATGAGTTGATTTTAACCCCAGCTCTCTGCCGTATGAGACGCTGTGATTGGATCCTTGCTACACTTATTGACATTTGCCCGATTTTCTATCACATGTATATCTCTACAGTGAATTTGAAAGGTGTGTAAATTTCAGACACTAATCATGTAACATCGATTATGTTACGCCTTACTGAAAGTCCAAGGATAACAGAGAATGCACCATCTTTTATATACAGTAAAAAACTCCAAAATTACAACTAGATATGGACAATTTTGAATTCTTATAACTTATAAGCATAGTTCGTTAAAGACTTTGAGTTTAAAATGTGTTTAAAGGGGAAAGTTAAAGGAAAATATTCCTTCGCCATAATTAAGCTTCATTTCGTTAAAGCGTTTTTGCCATATGTATTATAATGTACATTATTTATATTCAATGTGTTTTAAAGCAAACTGTCAGAATCCCCCTTCGTGTCAAAACAGCGGATTTGTTGCTCACACCTGCCAGTGTATGTGTCCTGCAGATCTAACCGGTAGTACCTGTGAACAGGTGGACACGGATTCAGGTACGAATTTTGTTTATAATATATTATCACATGGTTGGATGAATCTACAATGGTTTTCTCAATGGACTCTTTGGAAGTTCTTCAAAATGAGATTTACACATATAAAACATTTCAATTACGGAACGCAGTAAGTTGAAAACGAAAACCCCAAATGTTTCAAATTACTGATCTGTTTAAACAAATATTGTTAATTCATCAATATCAGAAAACACCTATCTTTTTTTACCTGACATGTTATATGAATAAAATAAAATTTTCAGACTGTGGTGGAATCATAGATCTAGCTGCTGGACAGGAACACAATATTAAGTCCCCAAACTACCCCAATACTTACAGTGTGGATAAAGAGTGTGTGTGGATGATCAGGGTATATTATTGTTTACATGATTTTTATGATAAAGCATTTTTAAAAATTTTAATTAATTATACTAGGTATGCAGATCATAAACATTGACATTCAATTCGTTAATAGGCATATATACAGCTCTTTAAATTTGTGTTCGTTTGTGTGTATACTCAGTTTCACTGCTGAAGCTTTCATAATGTTGATAATTATAAATAATCATGTACAAAATTAGCCTTAGCAATTGTTTTGGACTTGATTTGTTTTAAAATTCAGATTGTTAAATAAAACTTTTTGCAAAAATGTTTATCAATAATGTTGCAAATAAAGGTATTCTCATAAACTTTCATTTCTAGGGACCAACCAATTCGAATATAAAACTTACAATTCAAGAACTAAATTTGGCAAGAAATACACAAACTTCAGCTTGCTATCATTGGCTGGAGATCCGCTATAACCTTCTAGGACAGACCGGAATCAAGTGAGCTTTATTATAGCAGCAAATTAATATGATTCAATACCTTAAATATCAAATTTCGAATAACATATAACAGTATACATAGATCGTATCAGTAAAATTTTCAGCGAGAATTCAATTTTGGAATTATTGGCGAGGGTTCTGATATCGCTAAAATTGAATACCGCTAACAAACTAGTATTTTATTTTCTTTTTAAGTTCTCTCTCTTAATCTAATGTATATCGCGGCAAGAAAAATTGTTTATGCGCGAAATCTTATCAATAGAAAGCTTTATTGCTAATTAATCGTAAGAGACTTTTCTTTTCAGGCAGTGTAATACTCCAGCAAACCAAGTTTTAGAGTATACGACAACTGACGATGGAAACAAAAACATTATGATCCTGAAGTTTGACAGCAGGCTATCCAGAGACCAGCAGCCTTCTCAGAATCAGAGGTTCGAGTTGAAGGTCCAAGCCATTTCTGGTAAGATACTGAAAGATTGTTCTCAGATTTCTACTGAGGGGATTTTTAGATGTTTCGAACTTTTTTATAAAAACAAAAACTTAAAAATGGATCGTCATAGAAAGATCAAACTTATAATTAACAAAATGAAAATCTAAATGACCTAGAATGAAAGCATTCTGAATTTCGTTGATTCAAAATCCATTATCAGGTCCAAACTAAAAGATTCTGTAACCTTCACACAAGTCTGTAAATCTCAGATTCATAGTCCTAGAAGATTAACAGCTTATTTTACAGAAAAGAACACGTCTTAACTTACTCGAAACATACTCATCGCAGTGTTCAATGTTTTAAAACATGTTTCCCCATCTAGCACATGTAGATGATGTTTTTGGAATTTTTCTATTTGATGTCATATTTCAAAATTAGATTGCTATTACATGCTTTTCATTTAGGATCAACAAACCCTACAAACCCTTGTAGTCCCAACCCATGTCAAAATTCCGGAACTTGTAGCGTTTCTGGTTCGTCTTATACATGCACGTGTCCTTCCGGTTGGAGCGGTACTAACTGTGAAATTGCCTCACAGTCCTGTCAGCCAAATCCTTGTCAAAACGGCGGGACCTGCCAGTTGTCCGGAGGCAGTATCATCTGCAGCTGTACCTCTCAATATACTGGACCCAACTGTGAACGTATGTTTTCAAACCAGGGTTTGAAAAAAATGTTTTTAACATTTTTTTTTGTTCTATTTTAAGTTTTACTGGCTCAAGCTACCAGTTTTCAATCCATAATGTTTGATAACATTTTTTGAGTTAAATCCAATTTAACCCCTTTTATATGAAATAAAACAGATCGTACCGTTTTGTTTGGTCGAGATGACTAAGAATACTTTTTCTTTCCACAGAAACAACACAGTTATGTGATCCCACCTATTGTCAAAACGGAGGAACATGCCAAGTGTTTGGAGGGTCCTCATATTGCATCTGTCCCAATCCATATTATGGTCAAAACTGTCAATGTAAGTTTTAAATAATCACTGTCATTACAAGGATCGAACTGATTGTTTTAAAACGCTTTCACAGTTTCGAGATTATAATCAGTGGTTCTAATATTGAAATTTTTCTATATTTATTTGATTAAAACACTTACTTTGCTTTTTATTTTTACAGATTCATATTTTGGAGGAAGATGAACAATACTGGAAAACAGTACTTATATGATTACTATTAGGTAAATAAAATGCCATCACAACTTCTTTTTGTCTTCATTGACTACTTTAAGAAGTCTTAGAAATATACTGTGCCAAATAGAAATGCGTAAGTTGTATATTTATGTACAAGGAAAGTGTAAATTGTTTTTTCTTATACATACTTACCCATAGTATAGTAATGCAAGTGAACATTATGACGTCATATTATGACGTCATTATTCTTTCCCATTCAAGGTAATAAAACACATCAACAAAAATCGATAAAAATTTTAGGAAACTTACACTGGACTATAAATTTTTACCCTAGTTAAAATAAAAAAAAACTATAACTAAACAATTGCACTGTCGACATTTGTGCAGTAATATCTTGAATCCTTGGAATATTCTGCGCCTTTTGAAAGATGTGTAGCCTGGTATCTCATGGATTCGTGGTACTTACCGATTCGTAATCAAATAAAATCGATTAACAAAACTTTCAGCTTATTTTTATTGTGATTTAATAATAATAGGATTTAATCTCTTCTTTAGTAAAAAAATTGTATAATTTCATCACTTATCTGTGTCAAAATTCACCTTAAAATGTGTGGTGTTTACACCACTGTAGACAAATCAAGCGTCTCATTGATTCGTGGTATGGTACGTCATCAAAATCTGAGTTATTTGTATGGCGTGCTATTTCGGGCACAATTGCTTAATAAAAAGATAAAAGATATCGACGAAAATCGTTGTTTTATTCCATAGAATAATAACTTTGATAATTTAACAATTTATTTAAATATAATTTTGCTGTAAATATACAATAAATATACAATTATATTTAAACAAACAACAATTATAATAAATTACAGTAGAAGTGATAATTAAAACTAAAAAAGATACTTGTAACAGTAATTGATATTAGATTCAATGTTTGTAAAATATAATTAAATTTTAATCAGACAAGAGACATATAAAACTGATCAGACATAAAAAAAGGTTAAAATAATAGTAACATCATTTGATTTCATTACTCACAGTGAGGGCATCTGAATGTGCTCGAGGTACGAAGCACTCTTACATTGGTACAGAATTTTAAATGAGTCCAGTGGGAACAGAAGTCACACTTCCCCCATTGGACAAACAAAATACCGGGTATGCTTCTCAGCCCCGCTGGTTCCCACCTCTGACAAACACAGCAAACTTCATCTTCTGTTTGACCTTCACTGTCACTACCATCCTCAATAATCGGATCCGTGGTCTTTTTGGATTTTTTGACTTCTGTTGTTGATGTTCCAGATGTGGATGGCTGCGTGTCCTCAAGAACCTTCTTCTTCTTCTTTGCTTCCGCAGATTTCAGAATATCCTGGTTTGTTTTCTTCAAAAGAGAGCCAGCTAGGAATGGCGGGATGAATTTTCTTTTTTTCTTGCTTTCTGTTCGGACTTCTGTAATTTTTCGACTGCTGAAGAAATGTGGGGGATCATTACATATACGTGTCTGAGATAATGGCTCCGTTGTGGCATGTTCCTGTTGAATTGAAGAATCATGACTTTGAGAACTTGGATGATCATGATCAAAATGAGCTTGGAAGCATGTTTCTGTCATCTCTACATTCTGTTGAGGTTGATCAGCATCTACATAAATTATTGATGGAGCCATCTGTTGATCTGTAATTGCTTTTGGGTCAACTGGAAACACACCTGTTTTTCTGAAGGCTGAAATTAAGTTGTCCGGACACATTGCTTTAAGGTAGGGTGTTGCTGTGAGCTCTGCAATATCATACCTAGTTATATTTCTCCCTGGGTGCTTCTGTAAGAACACAGCACATTCTCTGTTATAGATTTTTTTGAGTGGCCCAAACACCCCAACATCTAATGGCTGGGTCAGATGGCTGCTGTGCGGAGGGAGAACAAATAATATTATGTTATTTCTTTGTGCCCAGTCAGTCAACGTTAAGCTAATATGGGATCGATGTCCATCTAAAAGGATGAGAACAGGGTCCTGATTTTGTATCCTGGCATTTGCTACAAAATGGGTTGTCAGGTACTGTTCAAAGATTTTGCCATTTGACCAACCACTATCACTCATTGCTCCCGAAGATCCAGATATGGCACCATTTAGGAATTCAGCATTCAATCTTTTACCTGGGAAAACATAAAATGGGGGCAAAAAATGACCTGCAGCATTTCCTCCGGCAATGATAGTGATAGTAGAAGATCGTGGAGATGTTATGGATTGAGGGTTTACATCTTTTCCACAAACAATTTTGGGTGGCGAATGGTCAGTCGAAATTCCTGTTTCGTCAATATTGAATATTTGATTTGGTTTGTCCGATAATTCATGTTTTGTTAATATTGTGGACAGTTCCTTGAAATAAGCTTTCAATTTTTCAGGGGATGCATTTTTTGCTCTAGCAATTGAAAGTTTTTGTGGTTTCACCAGTTTCAAGTCAGGCCAGCGGCGTAAAAAGCCATAAAACCAATTGTTACTGAGATGGTCAGTATTTTCCTTCTTTGTGTGAAGCTTTTTGTTTAGGGAATGTGCATACTCTCTTGCCATCCTCTGAATGTCCATTTTTGTATAACCATATCCGATTCCGGCCATATATATTAGATGCTGTGCCAATGCTTCTTCCTCTTTGAAAGTAAAAATGTTATCATAACCTAATTTTGCAGTTAGTGGAACTTTTTCCTTTACTCTGTCCCTAAGAGTTTGCTCTGGCACGAAAAATACCCTAGACGCCTTATAAACAGACATTCCCTCTGACACAACAGCATCATATGCACGTTGAAGATTTGCCTTCTCATACTGATATCTTTTTCTCTTAAAAAATTATCAAAATTATTTAGTTTACTGCAAATACCTTTATATAATTTAATTTTAAAAGTGATATATAATCAGCCACTTCCTTCAATAATTTACTTTATCAATAAATTACACGTTTTGAAAAGATTTTTTTATAATTAAAATTAAAATTAATATTTATAAAATTAAAAATTGGATTTAAAATGGAATTTATTTTGTCTTTGAATTCTTGATGCAAAAAGTGAGAAAAATAATTTTAATTTGAAGGAAGAATATCTTATAGTTTTTACAGCACTTGTAATTGGGCTGCTGATTATGACAAATAAAAACACTGATATTTAACGCTAGCAACTTTCCATACTTTATTCAATGCCTAGCAACATCACTTGATATAAACAGTCAATCATGCAGACGACATCTGGAAATTCATTTGAAATCAATTTACCTATTATTTCTTACCCCTTTAGCTATTTTTAGGAAAACAGGTATGTCTTCCAAAAGTGACTAATACGGATGTATACGTAATTTGTATATTTTTTGCATTACTTACCGAATTTTCCGTCATTTTCTTTGAATTATGCCCCTTTGCTTACACCAGGAACTCTACTTTCGATTTCTCAAAATAAATTTCTGGAATATTGCATTACGCGTGCGCAATGACGGATAAAGAAAATACCACGAATCAATGGGTACCACGAATCGATGAGAAACGACCATACCTTGTGTCTGTAAAACAAAGTAAAGTATGCCCTTGCGCTGAAGCAATTTTGTTGATGTTTCTGATATATACATTTGTGGTATCTCTTCATTATATAAACTTACAGAGAACAAATATCTTTAATAGTCCTATTGCACGTTCGGGTTCGTCATTTTAATTTTGCTAATAATATATGCATGTCAAAGGTGAATCGGGGATTGTAAACAACAATGGATGCCTGCGTAACTCATAAAGTTGTAAACAGGGTTTTATTTTAATTCATATTTCATAACTTTAATATTTTATACATTAGTATAGACATAATGTATCCCGGCGAAAAGGTGTGCATTAGATTATTCTTATCTCTGGAAAATTAAGACGTAACAAACGTTTGCCTAGAGTTGGTGATGTTCATCAGCTGTACATGTAACATTGAAAACACTGTACCTGAGTCTGTTTTGAGAAAATAATTGAGTTTAACTGTTATAAGTGCCCTCTGAACCTGTAACTCGGGGTAAGTGACCAAAAAATAACAATTTCAGAATATATTAATTATAAAGGTGTAATCACTTAGAGTTAAGTGACTCATGTTATGCAAACATGATCAAAAAATTATTTTTACTCCTCCCAGAAATAAAAAAAAAATATTTACTAAATTATGTCTGAATTATCCATAGCTATGTAAAAGACTGTTATTAAACAGAATTATACAGAGCATATGTTTATTTCATTAATATCATGTCATCAAGCCGACCAAGTTGCTAACATAATGTAAAAGAAATTCAAAATTTCAAATATAGAAAAATACGAGGGGTGATCAAAAAGTTCACGAACTATCTATATATCTACTGAACCATAATTCAGAATTGAAAAAAATTGGTACACACATCACCATGCACAAGTTCTATAAAAATGATACTTGATATTTTGTCCAGTGAAAGCGAATTTGAAAAGAGATCTGGTTTTAATTAAGCAATTAGCTATCAAAGACGTCCAATTTACACTTTGAAAAATACAATGTAGTTGAATATTTTAACAATAATTTAATTATTAAATACCCAAGATGTCGTTTACTTCAGATTTTAAACGTATTAGATATGATAAAAAGGAGGCACACATTCTCTATCCACCTTGAATAAACGTCTCTCCCGAGACAGAAGATTTGGGTTTTGATGGTCGACATGCTTATTTTTGGAAAGGATATTCTTATCCACCTATTCTGTTTCCAAGATTTGACCATTTCTGACAAATGAACTTTTCTTTTTATGAAAAGTAACTTACATGGAGATAAATATAAAACTCAGAAAAATCTTTCAGTTTTTGTGACAGAACGCTACGGAGAGGGTCACGTGACCGCCTATATCACGTGATTAACACATGAGCAGAACGTTGGCAGATGTTCATTAAAATTGGAGAGGACTAATTTAAAGTATAATCAATACTGAAACCAAATATTGTTTCTTTTATTGAAGTTATTCAATTAGTTCGCGAACTTTTTGATCACCCCTCGTACTCCTCATTTTCTAATTTTTTATTCATCAAAATTAAATAGTCTGTTTTTCTGACATCATCAGCAGGCATCTGGCTAACCCCATGTCAGCCGGAAGGAGTGATGTGGCACAAAGAAAAGGTAAAATTTTGTTACAGTAATAAATTACTTAAATCTATATTGGCCATTATCCAGTCAAAAAGTTCTACGGTATCAAGTAATGTGCTTGTCACTGGTTCTCCCACCCTAGCACTCTGAAACAAAATTGATCATATCCTGATGCGTTGATGCTGACTAAATATTTTGCTGTATAGCAATGCTTATCCAACACTGAATCCGGTTACCCCCAAGAATAGCTGCAGAACTGCCTGTAGCTCTCCGAAAGGCCGGTCTGACACTATATTTCTTTTTCGAAGAGCTACAGTTCAGAAGCTGACAATGTTCTGACAAAATGAAGTGCCTAAATCACTGTATATAAACAGTTTTAGTTAGGAAAGTACAACAAACTTTAATTATACAGTGTTAATGAAAAATAATCATGTTAAGAATGCTTGAATTGGTCACATTTTTAAAATACACTATATCATGTATACTGATAAATTTTATTCTCATTTTAAGAACTAATGGCAGATCATTTTATCTATACATTGCAACTCGATCTTTCATGACACGTGTGTTACATGTCTATATGTATGATTGTGTATTGTGTCTTTTACAAATTGGAAGAAGAATTTCCTTTACTCTGTTACTGCTATGTGGTTAGCATAAACAGAGTAATCATCTAGGCGTAATACATGATTGATCTAAATCTGCAGCCTTCAACCGATCACTCGCATCCCAACATTACTGAGCATGAGGAGTGATAAATACTGTTCCACTTTTTCTACCTTGGGGGAAGTAAATGCTGTTACATGAACCAATTAATAACTGATTTAGTGTGCCTTGTTTATTTTTCCCTATAAAAATATTAAGAAATTTAAATGGATTATTTTAAAAATCCATAACTTTATTGTGTAAACAAACGGTGCCATACCATGCATACAGGTACACAATGGACTGAATGTTATCTGGTAATATGAACAAGATAAATTTAAACAAATAACTCGATAATCATGATAAAACGAACTTTACAACATTTTTTTTCTGATCGCAAAATTTAACGAAACTGATAGTTTCACTCTATATTTCAGTATTTATTGCCACGTTTTTTTTTGTACAACTCAATGATTACTACAGCGTTACTTTTTACTTAAATTAACAGATGAAACATTTTATACACCTCGTTACCTTAATTAAGCATTGTTTAACACACTGTCTACATATTAATGTTTTTTTTATTGTGAGATGCAGAGTCAATCAGACACCAAGAATTACGACAGAAATTTATTAATGTAGATCGAGGCAACATGAACTAAAAAAAAATTTTGTGTGAAATAAGATACATTCATTTTTTTTAATCAATTTGCTTAATCGTACAAGTTTTCATTGAACATATTGAACTTTACAAATCTAAAAACATATTTCTATCAAATTTTGATTTCCTTTAAAAAATTGCATGAAATATCACATGCACTGCCATATGTCATGTGAAGTCAACTCGACAACATGTCATTTCCACTCACGCTATTTTATCAAAAGTACGTTATGAATGATTGTATGATGTTTTACATCATCTCGTTCCATAAATTTCCACTTATATAGAAACTTCATTATATAGCACAGAAGGGCTTTAAAATTTGACTTTTACTCGGCATTCAGGGCAATTGAGCAGTGAAGGTTCTTTATTATATACTTAATGTGTATCACTCAATTTTACTGTTGATTTTACGCTATCACGTGACGTCGTGATCCGAGAGTCCGAGATCACCACACTGTGGTTTTCTGAATCCATATCACCACTGTCTGAAACTCATGACGTACAATGTAGTACACAGAAACATGACGTTATTTTCTTGCGCGTTAAAAAGTACTGTACTTTTTTAATTTGCCTTGTCTTATGGATAAATGTTATACAAAATGTATTAAAGTTACATTTCAAAGTCTTCTAAGTATTAATAATTAAAAAAAGTTCTCAAACATTGTCAAGGATCTTCAAAAGACCACTATTAATAAGAAGCGAAAAAAAAAATATTATCATTATAATTATTTTACAGGTCAAGATTATCAATGTCAGCGAAAAGTGTATGTCAGGATGTAAACACTGTGGTTCTCAGGGGAGAGTACACAGCCGGTTTGTGTGGAGGAGGGTTGTCCAGACAATGCTGCAGAGGCAGTTATCATATTCCTGGCTGAGGAGCAAGCTCTACTAACGATCTACCCAAACTCCAAAAATACTTTGCTTGAACTTTCAGTAAATCTGTTTGTATTTTTAACATGTCAATTTTAAAACTAAACAGCTAAATTAATTATCCAAATATTTCTTACATGTATATAAATCTTTGAGTTATATTGAAGACAGTATATATTATGCAGAATTTTCACAGAATGCGCTTTGACTCGTAACCATTGATTAATCAACATATGCGATATTCATTCTTTGAATCATATGTATCAGTTAATTCAGAACAATCATTGGGAAAAGGATCTTAATTCCTTTTTAATAATATTTTTAAATGAAGCCTTTTTATCGACTGATACTGTAAGCCAATGAAGAAACTTTGGTTGATTTCAAAGTTTATAAAATAAGTTCGAATTGACAATTTCACCGTGATGGTATGGATTTATAATTATCGTTTCTTTAAGATGATTAGAACAGACCAATAACTTTTTATATAAATCTTCAATGGATCTGTCCAAAACAGAAAGAGTTGAAGACTTAACTCCCAATAAATAAATAGCAAAAGTCCAAAAGAATGATTCCCCAAAATAGAATAAGATGCGAAGAGAAAATTGATATTTTGAGAATAAAAATGGGAATGCCCTTTGTGATAAACTCTATAGGTTTACAATATATGTATAAAATTATTGAATTTGAAAATATAATGGGTCGTTATAGATTGGATGGTGACTGACCTCTTTAATTAACCGTCTGCAATTACTTTTATTCTGATTTGTCTACTGATTTATCCGTTTATCCGATTAGGAAGAACAAAGTTTACGTCATATCGACTGAGGAAGCTAACATTTTGTAATCCTCAATCATTATCCAAAATATGATACTGTAAAATCACATATTTTCGTGGGGTCAAATTTTCGAGGGTTGAGGAAAAAAAATTGTGAGGATTTGAATTTGTGGTTGGAAAACATTTACATATAGTAGTAATGCCTATGAAAATTTACATTTCTTGGTGGAAATGAATTCGTGGGTCTATATCCATACCTCGAAAACAACGAAAATTAAACCCCCACGAAAATTAATGATTTCACAGTATTTTCAATA